ATGGCTGCAGGATATATTATGCTATATTTTATCACCACTTAGATTTAGATCATGTATATCCTCAAATATCGTGTGTGTAATAAATATAATTGGAAGGCTATGGGTCCAAATCCAGGGTATATTTTTGTCCATTTTCTAATCACTTTACCCAGTGCAGGTCACTGGGCTGCCGGACCCTATCCCAGTAGACGATGGGGACAGGGCAGGGCTCGCCCTGGACAGGACGCCAGTCCGTCTTACTGGGCACTCACAGGCACAGACAGGCACTCACACATGAACCAGTTTTCCCAGAAGCCAATTAGCCTCCTAGCTTGTTTTTGGACCATGGGGGGACACCGGAGCACCCAGGGGGAAACCCACTTGAACTTGGGGAGAACATGCAAACTCCACACAGACAGCACCCCAGGAATCGAACCCAGGGCCCCATCACTGCGCTGCAGCAATGCTTAAGCACTGCACCACCCCTCCAAATCTAGGGTTTGAGTTAAGCCATTCCAATCAGAATACCCCAGGACAAAAATGCCCAGCTGTATAAATAGGTACCGTCCATGTCATTGTGATCAATGAGAACTTATTCTCAGCAGACTGTAGAATATTGTTATTATTTCACTATCTCCATCTGAACAGATTTTCTTCTATTCATTTGTTTCAGGAATTTAGCCCTCCAGGCAGCAGGCATCGCCGAGCGAGTGGCGGTGGACTCGATTGTGGTTGAGGAGGCGAACAGCCGCCTGCTTGAGGCCAGAGCCAGAGTAGCGTCTCTGAAGTCGCGCCATGCTGCTCTGCAGGCCATGCAGCCGGTCCCAGTCGACCAATGCCTTCTCAAAACGAAAGCTTAAAAATTCAATTCAGTGACCCAGCACTGCTACAGACTGCTACAGCCAAGATCCTGAGGCTGTCGAAACACACAGATTCAATTTGTGCCTTGCCACTTACTTGTCACTTCAAAAATTAAACTCTGTGCTTGATTAAATGCTTTGCATTTATTTGTTGCCTCGTACACCAAAGCTTGCAGGCTGTGTACTTGCAGGCTCTGCATCATTCAATGACTTACATGACAGTCACAGGTTTAACTGCTGAGTCGTAGTCAAAATAGTTTTATCTCACTCCTTTAATGGCAGAAAGCCTTTAGGGGAAGGATCCTGGTTTCTGAGACCATCCAAAGCTGAGAAAAATTTTTAGAATGGATTCTTACTCTAATATTGTTAGGTATTTAAGTCCAAGCAAGGGTACGTTGCAGTAAAAATGAACAGAAAAAAACACTCATTGACTGCATGGAATCAGGCTCTTTAAGTGCACTGTATTGCTTTTTAAACCATAAAAGCTACAATTAGAGTACCTAATGAACTCGTCTAACTGCATTAATCAGCAACAAAACTCAGTAAAATATTCTTTAAGGAATATGACATAAATTAATCTTTTTTTCTATTGTGATACCTTATAATTGCTCAATTAAAATAAAAGTGACTATTTGCATTTTTGAGGTAATCTATCAAATTCAGTGTAATGTTTTGATCTTAACATGGAAATTAAAGACAAGAAGAGAAATGAAAGTGCTTCTAACAAGTATTAATTTTGGCTGAAGATCTTTTTCTTTTTTACCTTGTTTAGAGAATTAAAATGCCTATTTGAGTATACAGTCAGTTATGTTCAATCGTTTTATCACTTTCTCTTCTTATGAAAACAATTTATCATAGTCAATCTTTTGCTATAAGTTCTCAAGGGATACAAAACTGGTATCTGTGACTCAAAGTGTTCTCTTTACCAATAGCAAAACATAATCTTCAAGTGTTTATGTTCAGTAAATTTGTTATTAAAGGTTTCTAAAACTAATGTTCTTAAACCTTTCTAGAAGTCTTCCTAAAAGCCTCTAAATAACTCCCAAATCCTTTTTGCTGAACAGCACATTTTTCTCTGTGGGTAACAAAATAAATTCCAAAAGCTACATTTAAGTGAAATATCTATATTTTTGTCTCCCACACGTACCTATTTCTTTTATTTCTACCTATTTCTTTGGTGATTCCCATTCCTAAAGTGCTCTCAATGCATTGGAAACATATCCTGTTCTGAAGTAAAAAAGTTTTTAAAATCCTCGTTAGTACAAAGGCGGAGAGTGAGAGTAAGCCTATCATTTTTAATACTTTAGGATTCACACCATCGCTGGGGGCAAGCCCATCTGGTTTAATTCACCGTATTTCTTTCTCAAGCAAAACATTGCGTTTTCTGCAACAGAATCACGAATATAATAAGAGTTTTACCGAGTCTTCCAAGTTTTTAACGAGAATGTAAATATTGACAGTACAAATGTTGATGTCTATCAATTCTAAGTGCACTTCTCATACACTACAAGAAGATTCCTACGTAGGCTTGTTGCAGGAGGAACTATTTTTTTGCCCATTTTTAAGAAGCATGTTGTGACGTGTTTTGCGTAATGTAAGTAAGCCATTTACTGTGGGATTACTTTGTGCAGTATTTGTCTTAATGTACTGAAGCAGTTCGACAGGCTGTTCTTACAGTTTTCCAGCTCCACATATCTACAAGGCCGGCAATGGAAAAATGCATTGTACTTTCTTTCATCTTTCTTGTGTACCATCTGTGTGGTAAGGTTTTATTTTATATTCTATTTTATTGGTGGTAATAGTAGTATTTTCAACATATTTTCCGCCTCACTTGTGAAACTGTAGAACACTACTACTGATATGAAACGACCACTAGATATTTAAAAACAACACAATTTTTTACAACCGCATATGTCAACTGTTATACAAAAATCTGTTTTATCTTAAATACATTTGTACGAGCTATTAAAATCTCTTGCAGAAAACGGTAAAGTTTCGAAGCTTCGGTTACACAGACGAAAACAAAATCAGTGCTTCACAGAAATTAATTTTAAGGATGCGATATAAACAAAAGCGTCGTAAAACAAAAACATAATACTAGTAGAACAAGGGTTGGCTTCTTGGTTGACCGCCAGGAGATAAAAAGACGTGCCAACGGTGGTAAAGTGGTTTAACGATAAAGCAGCGCCAGATCCGTGTCCGCGCAATGCTGTCATTCGGACAAATCCACGCACACAGCCGGGACTGGATGCGCTCCCGTAATGAGCTTCTTCCCCAGAAGTGAGGAAATGGTGGAAATGAAAGAGGACACGGACGGGCATCGTGGTCCACGTCTAGGGGGATGCATCTTGATAGCAGCTGGGGTTTCCATAGCTGCCATAGCTGCGATCATCACAGTCAGTTTGGTCAACAAAAGTTCGCCTCCGCCAGGTAATTACATAAAGCTTCCGCAAATCGCGCAAATCGTGTGATCCGCAGTTGTTTTAATCATCTAATAAGCAATTCAGTAATTCCTGCTACCTTTTACTTTACAATCCAAAAACCAGTAGAGACGTAATAAAAACACAAAAGCACATTTCCAGTCCCAGTATTGGGCATTCCGTGTTTTTACTGGCCTCCGGGGGTGAGACTAATAAAATAATTGCAATTAATTATGTGTAGCTGCTGTTCTGGTCCGTCACTTCGGGAGAGTTGTGCGTAGAACCCCAGAATTCAAGACCCGTTTCTCTCCAGGAGGTATTAATTTGGAGCCCATTCCACATCATTTTATTAACAGGGAGAACACACGGTATGTACATATGTCACACGAAAGCACATTCGACTTCAATTTTGTGTCTTATCATGTTCAAACAGAGGTAACGTATTAATTAAACTTACCGCATCTAGGTAAAGCCTAACCGTTTTACATTCTAGGATACTGACTTCTGTTTAAAACTTGACGTCGCTATACGGCAGGCGGTGTTTTGTAAAGAGGATTATCTTCTGACTGGGAAACGCGCACCGAGGTTCTGTACAGTATATCCATTCATCCAGTTGCTAATCGCTTTATCCAAGAGACCGCGGGGAAGCCGGAGCCTCTCTCGGCGAACAAGAGGCGCACAGCAGGGTGTACCTTGGACGGGACGTCAGGCCACCATAGACAGACACGCACACTCTCACAACAGAGCATGTCTTTGACCTACAGGAGGAAACCCCCATGAACAGAGGGAGAAAACTCCCCAAAGATAGCACCCTAGGTTCAGTATTGAATCCAGGGAGCCACTGCTGAAAGGCAGCCATGCTAGCTACTGTGCCACCTGGACTCTGCTTATTGAAAGGGTGAATGAGTTTCTCTCCTGCACTCTCTGCCCTTGTCTTTCCAGGACCAGCCTTTCCTACTGGGGGGGACATGCTGGATTATCTGTTCCAGCTTGGATATATACAGGAGAAGGATGGGTTGCATGTTTCCTGGTACCACTCTGCAAACAGTAAGACCGAAATGGAGGAGTCGCTGAAAAGTAAATTAATATTATTTTTTCAAATCTTAATACCTACTGTGTATAGCCAGCACAAAATACAGCTATAACTCAAAGGTGCTAAATAAAATGTTTCATGCTTATTATTTTTTTACCCGTGTTTATTGAAATAATCTGTGAGGGTCCTATATTAGCAGTATGCCTCCACCTGATACTTCGATGTTGTTCAACTGCAGTAAAGTGTTTTTTTTTGCTAAGATTCTGAGATCTGCTGAAATTGGGACACAGGTTACTCATTCAATATTCTGTTGGGACATAAAATTGTCCCCCCTGAAAAACTGCCATATTGCATCCCTCAAAATACACACATTTCTGAAGAACCACTCTTCTGGAACTCCCTTCTTGACTAACAACAACGCAGGGATTTACAGTTACTTAAGTGTACCTTGGTTCCTTGTCAAGGCTTTCTGTGCGGTCACGTGGAATCTGTGCTGTTATATTCCTGCTTGCGCTACAGAGACCTAAGGATGAGTTCATCTGGCATCTTGCCACGAGTTTTGAAACAAATCGTTTCATGACATGCTGTTATGATCCTTCACCGGTACGTCCATTGAAACACCACAAGTTCACTGTTGACTTTCTGGGTGTTTGGGGTTATTACAATCATTAGAGGTTCAAGTCGGTCCCTGCGTCAGCATGCGTAGGCTCCAAAGGAACAAGTAAAGGTTTCTTCCATTCTGAAAAGAGAAGAAAAGAAACACAACGTTTTGGCTGTGGATGGCCTTCTCCATCATAACGATTAGTATTTGCAGTCCTAGCATTATGACGCATATTTTTTAAATCTAATATTAATATTGCTTTTGATTTGAGATGGTTTTGCCTCAAAATACTACTTTCTTGTTAACTCTGCGTGCACATGACATTGGAGCATTTGTGCTGCACAGCCTGAGCGTATCCGTTCGTACATCACAGAACATTTTTCATTACAGTGACTAGTGAGCAGGAAGGGCCGCTTCACGTCACAATTAGTGCTGACGAGACCAGCAGTTGGCAACAATGTGGGAACCCATAGGACCGTCGTAAAGTTTGCGATTTTGTGCTCAGTTCGAAATTTGTCATTTTTTTCTATACCCTCAAATTAATTTACTTGGGTACCGCTTTCTTCACGGAGAAGAGCTTTCCTTGGGGGGCCTGTTTGAAGTGTCCTATCCTTGCTTAGGCGAGGCGATGGTCCTTGAGGCTGATGTGAACGTGGAGGGGTACGGCACGTCCGGACAGACGAACATCCCCATCATGGCCCACCCCCCCGATATCTACAGCGACAATACCCTGCAGGAGTGGCTCGATGTGGTTCTCAGATCGAAGAAAGGTACTTTCATTCCACTCCTGAGCTCACTTAGGTTTCAGTGCGTACAGTGTACAAAAAAAAGTGAAACTGTTGATCAGCATATTAGAAAGTTCTCTTCTTTTTTTTTTGGGATTAGGAATAAAGCTCGATTTCAAGAGCATCGAAGCAGTGGAGCCTTCTTTGGACCTTTTAGCAAGGAAAAATCTGAAATCAGAAATAAACAGACCAGTCTGGCTAAATGCTGATATCCTCCATGGTCCAAACGTGCCTAACTTTGTGCGAGTAATTAATGCCACAAGGTAAGTAGGTTCTTAGTGACTGACATCATAATACTCCACATAGCAAGATCATAGTATTGGTACACAGCTGGGAAAAACAATACTGTGATCCAGTGTGCATCGGTAATATTGCAGCACTATGACTAGGGAAAGGGAAAGCTCTCCCATAGCTGTGGGTTTTAGCCCAGAGCTAAAAGGGGAAGTGCAACATTATTTTCATATTTTGGGGTTAGACAAAATTGCCATTGATTAGTGCATTTCAAACCGCAATGAAAGTAAAATGTAGACAGTAACTTCACCAAATAGATTAAATTTCCACATATGTGCAGCGCCATGTTCTGCGATTCAGTACAAGGCAATAAAAGGTCTCGTGAGGTGAAATAGCCCTATTACATTTTAAATACTCAGGCTTGTGAATACACCTCTTTTAATCCAATATCAATATTGCTTTTGATGTCGAAACGGTTTTGCCTAAAAATACTACTTGTTAACTCTGTGTGCAGATCACGTTGGACCCTTTCTGAGATGAAATATCTGATGCACATCCTGTACATATTCGCTGGTACATCACAGTACATTTGTCATTACGGTGACTAGTGAGCAGGAAGGGCCGCTTCACGTCGCAATTATCTTGCACCCAAAAGTGGCGAGACCAGCAGTTTGCAACAACATGGCGACTTACAGTACTTTCACTGTAAGTGAAAGTTCACGACTTGGTGCTCAATTTGCAATTTGTCATTTTTTTTCTATACCGTCAATGAATTGACTTTGTTAGGGAGATTTAATAACCAGTCTGACGGAACTGGGACTGCAGTTCACCTTTAACGCACACATAAGTCAGATGCTCAATGTAGTAACAAAGAGGTGGAGTAGGATCCACCTACATCCAGGCGGTGCTGCTGTCCAAGAAGACCGAGAAGCCGGTCAAGAGCAAGTGAACTTCCTGGCTAAAGCCTCTAACTAAACAGGAACCCTCTGTTGCTCATCTTGCACTCTTAGCTACTCGACGAATGTGGTGTCATGGCAGACTGTCGTTTTAAAGAGCCCATTTCCCTCAGATGCTCTGTTTTGTTTCCCGGCATCAGGTTTCTCAGTCTCATCCAAGCGAAATTTCCAGAGGCCACCATCTCTCCAGGCTGGAAGGCTCTCTACCTGCCCCTGTTCCCCGGCGCCACCTACACCCGCGCCATGGTGGAGGAAATGTACGCGAGTATCAGGAACGTCACCCAGAAGGTGTCCTTCCCGGTGCGGGCCGTCATGTGCAAACGGGCCTGGCCTCACTTCAGCTGGCTGCTGAGGCAGTCTCCCAGGTGACCGTCGCGCAGTGTTGTTAGAAATAATAATAATAATTGCTAACACTTATATAGCGCTTTTCTGGACACTCCACTCAAAGCGCTTTACAGGTAATAGGGATCCCCTCATCCACCACCAATGTGCAGCCCCACCTGGATGATGCGACGGCAGACATAGTGCGCCAGAACGCTCCCCACACATCAGCTATCAGTGGGGAGGAGAGCAGAGTAATGAAGCCAATTCATAGAGGGGGGTTATTAGGAGGCCATGATGGGTAAGGGCCGATGGGAAATTTGGCCAGGACGCCGGGGTTACACCCCTACTCTTTTCGGGAAACACCCTGGGATTTGTAATGACCACAGAGAGTCAGGACCTCGGTTTTACGTCTCATCTGAAGGACGGCGCCTGTTAACAGTATAGTGTCCCCGTCACTACATTGGGGCATTAGGACCCACATGAGCCACAGGGTGAGCGCCCCCTGCTGGCCCCACTAACACCTCTTCCAGCAGCAACCTTAGTTTTTCCCCGGAGGTCTCCCATCCGGGTACTGACCAGGCTCACACCTGCTGAGCTTCAGTGGGCTGCCAGTTGTGAGTTGCAGGGTGATATGGCTGCTGGCTGAAATATGACTTCGGGGCTCCACAAGGGAGAATTCTAAACCAGGCTGCAGGAAGCCTGGAGAGAGATAAGGGTCTAGTGTTGGGAGCGAAGAAGACTTACAAGAAATAGTTATGTTTCGTTTGAGAAAGCTCCCAGACTGTAATGCATTTGTGGTAGAAATAAACAGGTATACACAGCAGGGCCGCGCCTGATGGTAGATTGTACTGCCAGGGGACACCTCTCACGCTGTTTTCTTTCATACGCAACCTTACAGAGCTGTCAGATGTGTCGGTGTGCCTGCAGCGGTTTCTGGGACAGGATTTTGCTTCAAGACTTTAAATGTCCCCGCCTGAGTGCACACTTAAATCAAGTCACCTGTGTGGTACAGTCTTGGAAATTATAAACAGCACCGTGTATATTCCGCACATTCCAGTATATGCTGACAACCTGAAGAAGGCTCCACAGCCCCAACGCTGTGCCTGTTTTCTTTTCCTTTCAGCAGCCAATAAACTTTGACCTGTTCCTCTGCAGCCTACGCATGCTGACACAGCTACCCATATGCAGTGTTTCTACTTGCAAACCATTGCTGTTTATTCAAATTGACTGAATCATTTACTGGTCATTACTCTTTCTAACTGGGTGGTTTTCCCTGATGTGTCCGTTAAGGCAGTTTATCCAGCCTATGGAAAAACTGAGGATTCCTGATGTTGGATCAGCCCAGTGATGTCTGTATTCTCCCTCCTGTGTTTCAGATACAGCCTTACTCTGTGGCAGGGGAAGTCCGATCCTGTCACTGTGAATGACCTTTTATTCATACGGGACAACAGCCTGTCAGAGCAGATCTACTATGACATCTACGAGCCAGTCCTGTCTGAATTTAAAGAGGCTGCAAGTGAGTGCTAGCTGAGGCCTGAGATGTGACTTGGCAACTCAAGAAGGCCCTGGGTCTGTTTGAAATCTATGCAGTTTGACGTAAAATTTTTGTGCCACCGAATTTAACCGTGAAGATTTTAAAATGCTGCAGTCCACATATGTATGCCATGGGCAGCCAGTCAATGATCACGTATTCCAGTTCTAGATAAAGCATGTGATGTGATTTCAGGAAGAAAAGCACTTTTGGTCACACTGTGTATTAAACATAATACATGTAAGTATAGAATATATTAAGTATAATTTCATTTTACCCAAATCATTTAATCTTTTTTAAAAAAAACAACAGGTATGCAATGGAGGTGTATTTAATCTGAGTTTATCACCGCAATGCTGATAAAACGTGATACCATAGCTGGGCCATGGTACTGCCAAATTAAACTGCAGAAGCACTGTGAGATCACGACAACTTCCAAAGACCCAAGAACATTTGTTAACCTTGTCATCTTAACTGTCTTGAACTTTCTAGAGCAGAACAATAGAAAAAGAAGGTTTTACCCAGGAGGAAATGTGGTGGACTACTTCAGACCTAAGAACTCTGATGGCTTGAATATCCAGTGGTATACTGTTGACAACACCATTGGGCTAATGTCTTCACTGAGAGGTAAAAATGGTCAAAGGCATGTTTGTGGACACATTTTTTAGTTTTTAAATGGGGGAGAGAAATGCTAACTTTTTCATTTACATAGCTAATACTATTTTCATAGCTACTTTAAATTTCCCTGATTGTCTAACGTTAAAAAGCCTTGGTTTTAAATCAAGGAATTTTAACTCTAGCGCCTAAAGTGAAATGTCATCTTTAAAGAATGCAGCAGTGCTAGAAATGTTTGCCTTTAGCCTTTAGTTCCCTTTAGTTTTTTAGTGACAGTCTTTATTGCACACTTTTGACAATATTAGCAATAACATAGAAAGATTAACATACAGTATCTTAATGTTATAAAATGTGTAATTACTGTAGAAACAGGTATACCATAAGATCAAAATGAAAGATAACATTTGGATACAAATCTTTTAAATTTTAATTGTGGATGTAATAAATCCCAAAGTTAAAGTAGTTCCTCTAGTGTTAGACCAGGTACAATGTCTGGTACAAAGAACAGCACTCAGAAATTAAGTACTACCGAAAATTACAAGTATGTCTTCTGCACTTCCTGATTTTGATGACTTGCGATGTCAGGATAGTGCCCTGAAAGGATTCCTTCTCTGTGTTCATTTATGGAAGAGATTAGTTTTGAAAAGACCTGGGCTAATTCTATTCAACATGCAGCAGAGCAGAGAGAGAAGACTCTTTAAAGGCAGTTCAAGACAGGGACCTTTGTCGGCAATCATAATCTCACCGTTCTGCCAAGGAGGCAAGATAATCAGCTTCTGGCATCTTTATACTCTCCATTTACTGTATCAGTGTTTTACAACATGAGACTTACAAGATCCCTTGTACCCAGAATCAACAAGCACTTATCAGATGATAGAAGTGCAAAACATGTGGGTGTGCTTTCAAAACGGAGATCAGGAGGCACAGAGTGTTGTGGGAGTGTGGAACACTCTGGTGCTAAACCCAGTGCCTTGTCTCATTTCATGTGAAGTCTGGATGAGATCTGAATCTGAATGGCCTTCTTTAGCCTCTGACTTTCTTATGGTCTTAAAACGAACTATTCCCAAGCCTGTATTGCATAACAAACAATGCAGTACACACGCAAATGCAAACATTTGCGAAGAAAGACAGGATCATTTTATTTAGGCTTTTTCAATCAGAGCTCTTCCGGAAATAAGTCTCTTTTCTTTTGCATTTGTCGTAGATAATATATGGAGTAGGGTGTCCTGGTGGCAAGGTGGCTGGTATCGCTTTCTTGCAGCGTTGGACCTCAGGTTTCAGTTCCCAGGTTGCTATTTTCATGGAGCTTGTATGTTCTCCTATGTTCACACAAGTGTCCTCCGGTTGTGTGTTTGTGTCTGTAATTGTGTCTGTGGGCCCAGAGATGGACTGGCGTCCTGTCCAGTATAGATCCTGCCTTGCACGCACTGCTTGGTAGGATAGGCTCTAGCTTTGCTGCGACCCTGAATTGAATAGAGTGGTTAGAAAATGGATGGAATTGGTGAAGTACAGTTTGCATAGTGCACTTTAATAATCAATGGTCAGACAGAGGAGCCGTCGGGTGTGTGTTGGAGTGACAGTCCTTTATGCTTGTGTCTGCAGATGAGGACGGGGGGATGCTGGTCATTCCAGTGGTGTCCAGAGAAGGCAGCCTTGAGGTCAGGCTGGTGGACAGGTCCGCACCTGTGCTCCTGCTGCAGGACTGTCTGGACACCATATTCGCCTCTCCCAAACCGTGGGGCATTTACCTGAAGATCAGATCACAAGACGCCCTCGCTCCCACGCTCCTCCTCCTCCAGCAAGCCTACGAGAGCGACCTCCTTCATCACCCCACCTGGATAAACATGGACATCTCCTTTGGGAGATTCCACACACCAGGCTACGTGGATGGCAAGGAGTTTGTAAAGACCATAAACGAGATCTTTCCCTTCGTCACTGTGGCCCCTGGCTGGCCTAACGAGGTGCTGAGCCAAGGTTACACGCTGCCTTTGATCGAAGACATGATGAGGCTCTGTGAGGGACTGTGGCAGGAAGTGTCTTTCCAGCTGCAAGCCCGGGCTCTGGGGAGGTCGTTCCAGGGCATCAGAAAGCTGCTGAAAAGCACCTCCAGGTTCTCCTTAACAACGGAGCACCGACCTGAGCAGGGAAGCTATTTCTCAGGTTACAAGGGACTGATTTTAATCCGAGCCGGACGCAGGGATAGAATCTTCTACAATCTTTCCAGGAACTACCGGGGCAACTTTTTCAGGGATACCTTCACTTCTTAGCCATTTTCCTCACCTCCACCTATAATAATATTGCTTTGACCAATATTGCTTTGACTTTTGCTAAGCATTGCACTGCATTGTTTATCTTTGAACCCAGTTTCCCTGATTTCTGACAAGAAAACGCATATTCTGTAAATTCTCATGCAAGACGGTGCTTGATAAGCTTGTTAACCACTACCTTCTTTTTAAACGTTGATGCACACAGCTTGAGAGCAGTTGGTTTTTTGTAAGTAAACAGCAACAAAATATTGATGAGACGTAGAAAGAACTCTCAGTTTATAATCACAGTCTTAACATTTTATGGTCTTCAGAAGTGTAACAGGTGTGACACTCTGGAGAGAGAGAATGCTACTGTGGACAGTCCCCATGGGTAAATCAAGGTGATAGGCTGTTACTGAGACTGTCAGCATTTCAGCTTTACGTTGCAGAGTCAAGAGACACAAAACAAGCTCATGTCCACCTGAGATGCATATTTTTCTTCTACCCTTCTGCTGGAGATGTGAGTGAAATGCTGTATACTGTATTCCCAAGCATGACAAATTCCACTAACAGTACCAAGAAACATCATAAACAAATGAGTGTGATTACATTAGCTGCACGCTGATGTCTGAGGAGATCACTTTGCCTATGACATCAGAGGTCAGTATAAGGAAACTCAAAATAAAGTGATAAAGTGCCTTTAAACCTCACCTTCTTCAGACTGTCTCCTCTCATTGAATCCCAGCAAATAAACACAGATTTGCATTGATGGAATCTTACAGAATGGGATTTGGCCAAATCGGCTGTGCGTGTGGGAGTGTCCTTCTATTCTAGAAACTGGCATCATCCGCAGCTCAGTTATCAGAAAGTTGCGTGTTCCCGATGAGCACTTCCCCCTGATTTCCACTTGCCTCCTCAGGTCCGTGTTTCACCTCTGACCCCAGAGGAAGCCATCGGACTGACTTTGCCAACGCTGTTGAGGGTTTGGGATGCTGGGATCTGGTCCCCTTATAGTCTTCTGTGTCCGAGCTCCTTTCCCCTGCCTGCACGGGAGAATCCAGAGCAGCAGTTCCTCCCAGCAGACTGCGAAGGCACTGACTCCTCTGTAGGAAGAGAAGCAGGCTACTCCGGGGCCTTGATTTTCCAAGGGGAGCTGAAGAATGGCTGGAGAGGATGTATTGATTTCTCCGGGTGTACTTTAGTGAAGACTGATTGTCACCCGAGCCCATCACTCAGGTGCTAATTGAATATAATTGATTGTCTTAATTACTCCACATTATTATTTAGCAGATGCCTTGGGTGGCTTGTGACAGGCTCGAGGTCTCCTGCGCTTGGTGCTGGTCTGCGATACGAACAGGAGCCGAGGGAAGATTAACACACAGACCCAGTACAACTGCAGACACGGGTTCCAGTTCCTCCTAGGCTGTCGCAAGGCCCTCCTGCCTGGCCGCTCGGCCAGTGCTGTTCACCCTGTCTAACTATGCTGCTGGTTCTTGCCCACTGGGGCTGTGTCAGACCCTCCTGTCTGTCCAGCCTGGTCCTCTGCTTCCACCAGCTCAATAATAATAATAAAGTACTAATAATAGTAGTAATAATAAATCCTTATACTTATTTAGTGCTTTTCTAAACACTCAAAGCGCTTTCCCAACCAACACCAATGTGCAGCCCCACCTGGATGATGCAACAGCGGACAGAGTGTGCCAATACACTCTCCACACATCGCCTATTACTGGGCAGGAGAGCAGAGTGATGAAACCAGTTTATACATGAGGATTATTAGGAGGCCGTGACTGGGAAAGGCCAGGGAAGGCTTTAGCCAGGACACTGAGGGAACACCCCTGGTCTTTTGCTCTGTTCAAGAAACGCCCTGGGATGATAAAGTCATGAAGATGAGTGCGGATTTATTCACTGAGGGCTACAGCAAAGAAAAAACACAACTGCATGAATTTAAAATAAATTTGCCCTGTGAAAACGAATGAAATAAACACCGTTTTTTTAAAGATTTAAAATACATTTTTTGTTCTTTCTCTCAAAGTTGGATAACCTAGTGCAATAGCAACATACTTACGCACATGTAATGCATTTTGCATTTTTTATGTGGAGAGTAAATCACCTATAAAGTTCTAGATCCAGGAATATAAGTTCTGATACAATTCAGTGCATAGAAGTCAGATCTTTCTAATCACTTCAATTACTTTCCAGAGGTGTAGCATGAAATGTATTGTATATTTGGCTATCACTACATGGTCTCAAATACAGAGTGACACATTGAAATTCCGGAAACATTTCCCTTATTAGAAATAATTCACTGGGCGGGTACTGGCATTAGACCAAAATAAGAGCCCGTAAAGACCAAAAGGTTACTTTCTGGAGGTGGAAGTAACTCTTCAGCAGTGTTCCTATCCAACAAACTACAGCATTTAAAGAATTCAACACATTGTGATTTATTTAGATCTTGTAAAAGAACACAATTTCATCTATCTAAATTACAATACTGATTATTGAAATATTTAAACAAGTTGACGGCATGTTATGAAACATCTATGAGATTACAGTACTGGTATAGAATTTCTAAGGTCATAGAACACACCAATGTTCCAGTAATAATGCACGTGCATCAACATCAGGAGTGTTAAGCAGCACAGACTGCAAATTGTTCATTTCTCACTTGCGAAATGTGCAGTACTTTTAATGCATTCTGTGTGAATACTCTAAGTCCCTGTGGCCTGACAAATAAAAAATGCAGGCTATGGTCTCAAAACACACTTGGAAGGCCAAGATTGTACCTAATGAGACAAGTCAAGGGCTGCACCATCTGAGATCTCTGGAAATTCTGAATCAAGAGTAAAAGGACATGTAAATGTAGACAGTTTGAAAGGTCATGAAATGGTGTAGGACTGATTTCCAGAGACTGCTGTACCTACGTAAGAATGTGCTGAAATGCATTACGGCGAGGATTGACGTTTCTTAATTTTTTTTTTCCCAAGAAAGGGAATCTTTGGGAAGGTGATACAGAGTGGAGCACAACTGCTGGGATGGAGTGTTATTCCTCGCTGCCCTCAGGTCTCTTCGTCCAGCCGCTGATAGCCGTTGCTCAGTGAGAAACGGAGAATCTGAAGCCAACCGATACTGAATCGGAAGGAGAGGGGAGACTCCTACCACTCACAGCACCGGACACACTGCGTGTCGGTATTAAAGTAAAGAACGAAACAAAACGTGCACGCAGACCTAGGTCTCTTCTTAAATTCTACACTGGCGAAACAAAACCGTCTTCCTGTGTCCCATCCCAGCATCACAGCGCCGCAGACAAGGCCGGAGAGCCACCCTTGTTCTCCTCCAGGAACTTGCTGCAGGCACAGAAGGTGCTGTAGAAAGTGGAGGAGAGCCCAGCGATGTCGGTGGAGATGTATGGCAGCACTCCTGGTGTTGCTTGGTTGTAGTAAGTTATCTGCGCAAAACAATAGACGAGAAAAATGGCTTGAGGAGGGTCAGTGTTCAGCCTGCTCCTTTTCAATCGGGAGCAATCCGTTAGCCGTACTGGGGATGTTCCTCTCCGGTCCTGATCTCCCATCACTGCAGGCTGACTCGTTTCAGGTTTCAGTGGGCGGCACGTGGTCCCCCAGATATTAGTGTAACCAGGGAGCAGGGGTACTCTGTAGAACGTTCACAAGGTGACGCAAATCGAAAAACTCCTTTACCTTGGTAGTGGTGTTGGATTCTTCCCAAATCGTGAATCCCGCGCATAAGACCTCGCCCCTTTTGAACTTGTCCGTGGGAGGGTGACTGGGCAGCGTGACGGAGCGCAGCGCTATCACGTATGGATCCCTGGGGGGAGAGACAGGGTCATTCCCCGGCCCAGCGTTTAACGAGCAGCAGACCAGCAAGACAAAATCGAATGCAGACAGGGGATGAGTCACTAATCTGTTGTCCCGATGCATTGAAGCCTCCTGCTCTCCCCTTGCTCTCCAGACTTGCGGACGCTTCTCCCCCATCTGTCTTTAAAGCCTACCACGTTATGCAGTTGCCACTTCTGATCTGCGCAATGACCCTGGTCCTCATTCAGTTAAGGTCACTCCAAAACCTAAACCCCAGATCCACTGAAGCTGAGGGGGACGGATACTTTTTTCACACACAAGACACTATAAGCTTTCCCAATGTCCTGGGCACAGAACAGTATTAAATATTATCATTCTGATGCTAAAAGGTTCTGGATCCACAGTGCTTTGAAGCCCTACCACGCTACTTGCATCGAAAACAAGAACAATACCAACCCCTTGTCACATGGCCTCCTTCTTGACGCCAACAGCACAAAATCCTGGAACTTGCTGTCTTTGCCCACAGAGGGAGTGAGCACATAGTAGATCATGTCATCTTCATCCACCTCCTGGATCAGTTCGCACTTTCTGTGCAGAAGGATAAAAGTGTGATACACCACATGCAGATGAAGAGGGAACGCTTTTCCGTCCACTGCCCACAGCCACTTCTTCTTAAGGAGGGCGATAGTGAGACAGAGCCTGAATCAGCAGACACGGGGATTACAGTCCGGAGGGGACACCAGGCCATCACAGCGCACGAGTGCACATGGACACGAAAGCACAAAAATAATCATGTGCAGAGGCAACAGCACATAGCAAGTCTTTGGGAAGTGCAAGGGCAGCAGTAAAGAACAGCCATGCCAACATGGTGAAGAACATGCACACTCCACACAGAGGGTATCACAGTGCGGAAACAAACTCGGGGCCCGACAGCTCTGAAGCAGCAGTGCTGGGCGCCAGGCTGCTGTGCTTCCCAAGTAATACTTTTATGAGAATTTAAAAAAAGAAATCCATTCTAAAACCAAATGAGAAATCCTTGGCCGAATCAAAGCAGTAATTTAATGTCGTTATGTGCTTTGGGGCGGCTGTGAACGGCAGCTGTTTAGAAAGAGGAACAAGCACAGTCGAGATGAATTGCAAACAAGCGCGAGTAGGGGAGAGGAAAAAGGAATAAATAACGGAAAGCAAACTTTAGCTTTGGTGCTCTCTCTACGCACTTGTAGTGTTTGTCCCACTCCTGCCTGCGGCCCAGGTCGGACAGCAGGATGAAGACCCGCTCTGCTGGCATGTCCACATTTGTCTCCACCTTGAACGACAGGAACTGGTTCTCTTCCAGCGTGTAAAGGCTCACCTAGGCCAAGAAAGCACAAGGCCCATGTCTTAGCGTACTCTTTTAAAGCCAGGAGCCCCGCACAGCTTTCCGGACCTCACCTTCCGTCTCTCCGAGTTCAGGACCCAGCTGTTCTTGGATGCGAGCACCTTGAGTGCCGAGACATTGTTATAGCTGAGGTAAACCTAAAAGCAGAAGAGGGAGACGGAAAAAGGTGACTGCTCCTTGTAAAAAGAAAAAAAAAAAAGAAAATGCAACCAAACGGTTTTCAGGCTTAATTCTCTTTATGTTAAAATAGCATGTAAGACGACCTTATAAATTACGGCCATAGCCACTGACTTGATCCAGGGTCTGCAGATTACTGCTTCTTGATTTTTTGCGGATATCCGAAACTAAAACATGGTAGAACACTAAGAGAGGTACACTCGATGTTTGTTATTCAGTTTTAGTATAAAGGTTTTTTTTTTTTTTAAAGTTGGACATGGTGAGTAACAAGCTGAGTAGCTTAGTGTTGGGTAAACAGTCAGTTTTTTAAAAATGGCGTCATGCTTGCTGCCTGACCGGAGTGAATTTTTCCCAAGTGCTCGCTAGGCCTCTCCCCCCCGTCTCTGTATTACCTGGTTGATAGGGTCCCAGGGCACAGACAGTGGCACCTCCGTTTGCTTGCAGGAGATGATGTATTTCCTATAGGCGACAGAAAGACGAAGTTCTGTTTCCCGCGAAATGGCAGTGTTTGCAGTCCACACTGAATAAGCCCAGAGGAAAGGTACTGCCTACACTTGTTGGCGTAATGAACGGTGGAAAAATGAGGCTTTTAGGCAGGAGTCAGTAAGTGGACTTTATCTGTAGGTAAAAATGTTTTAAAACGCTTCTTTCACCATGCTGGCAGAAGCAAACGACACAGCAGCTGTCTCAGTCCTTCCGAAGATTCCTGTAAACACAGTTGCCAGTTTTGTAGTGGCTCGCTCCTCGTGAATAAATCATGAATAAATCATGAGCACATTAAACCTCCTCATTGTGCCAGAAAAAGACTGTGACTGCGGTCTCTGTAGTTTTACACGCACATCTTTCTCCAACTGCTGTGCACAGGCTAGCAGACTGCAACGGCCTTTTCTAGAATTGCAGTCTGTACACAGTCGTCTCGTACACAAAGACACCACGGGAGGGACGTTTGTGAGGGTTCGGTGCAGAGAACTGTTACGAACAGCCAAACTCGCAAATAAACAAGTCCAGCCCTATTCCACTGCATAATGCACTACAGTATAGAAGTATGTATGGCTGAAAGACAGTAGCCCTCCCTTATATAATAATTAAAAGTACTAGTGCACCGTCTTTACATTAATTTAAACAACACTGATCAGCTCACACAACTTATAGTAATCAGTTCAAATAAAGAAAGTGAATCCCTCCCGTGTCCAGTGGATTTCTGTGCTTTCTCTGCAAAGTCATGTCCAGCTGGGTGGTGGGTACCTGGGGAGGGGCAGGGCAGGGAGAGGCTCAAGATTCGTCTCAAGATCCTAGGTTGTTGCACGCCTAAATATGAAAGTTGCGCTCGACAACCTTCAGCTCGGTTTCAACAACCTCGTCAGTCAGACTGAACCGTAAGTGAATCTGCGAATATTAAGTTCATAGAAGTCAAGACCCTACAGTCTGAAGCCCAGGAACTGTATCTCAGAACTAGGCTGTACAGGTTAGCAGGGAGTACCCTCATGCTTTTTAATGGGTATTGTTTGGGCAAATTTCAACAAAGGTGAAACTGTAAAATTAACTGGAATATCCATCCTTGCATAACAGGTCCCACAACTGACTCATTATATTGTCATGGGGAAGGTAGTATTTAAGGGATTACATAAAGGAAAACATGTTGTGTCTACTTTTTAGCTCACCATAGTATTCAGAAGTGTTGCTAGTGCACACAAGACACAATACGTCTTGCTGGGATCTTATTTCCTTTGTGGTCTGGAATGTACACAACAGAACGTGGACACGTACTATTGCTCCATAATTGCAGAATTACATCAGGTCCTTCGCTGACGTTCCCGTGTTTGGCTAGGAGATTTTCATGTTGCTTACAACAACCATACAGGACTGGTGCTGTGCAATGGGCAATGCCTTTTTAACACATTTTCAAGGGGAAGAAATGACCACAACAGAACATGAGATGAAAATGTCTGAATTGTTGCACATTTGTAGCATGGTGTTTTTGGGTTGCGGTTGCGTTTTTTGAGCGATTTGAACTTTTTTTTTTACAGAAAAACATGTTATAGCAGGGAGTACATAAAATGCAAGTAGACCACCTTTATAGTGCAGTTGCTGGTAGTTCACCTTGTTTAATCCAAACTATAACACATTAGTACGATTAGTGCGGTTCAATAAGAAAATATTTCCTGTAAATACTGTATGATATACTTTAAGAGGAAGAGGAGTGTAGTGAACATGTGTGGAAACAAAAATAACAGTGACAAGTTTACAAAAGAAATAAAATCACGAACACCTGGAGAAAAATGCACGTTTATTCAGTTTATCACCAGATCAGAATGCCCACGTCTCATTTCCACGGTGTCCTACTGCAGGACTGGTGCGGCTTTTAGCAGTCTGCTGAACTACATGCTATTGGCTGTGAGCACTGAAAAATGCTGGAAGCCAGATTATTGGTTGTCAAATAACTCATGTTTCAACACAGGGCAGGATCTGATGATTCCGGGAGAAAGAAGTAAGAGGCACTACTTCCAACTGCTCAGGACTGGACGGGAGTTTTTAGCCAGTATGTCAGAATTAGAGCAGATTTCTACATCAGAAGCAGACAGCAATGCAGCACTGAGTGCCTACCCAAGATTACTAGATTATCTTGTATTACTGATAGCACTGATACTTGGAAAACAGCTAAAAACAGCTCCCAGTTTCCATGTGCTTACTGGTGGCCCTGAGTAATTCTACACTCTTTGGGACAATTGCAGGAAATCTTTCCTCTTGACTGCCGGCTTCTAATGCATGCATTTACAACCAGAGGCACTTTCCAACGATAATGGATTACCAATAAATCAACAATGTCTCTAACTTTTACTGATCTCCAGGGAAAGTGGTACTCCTTGTTTTGCATCAATACCATTTAGGCACAGCGCAGCCTACTACAAACAAAGCAGAGCAGTCAAAGAAAGGCTGAACACCACCTGAAGTCCTGTCAGAGCCCGGTCATGTGTTGACATCTCATGGATCACTTTCTAACCATTTCTAACTTAAAGCTGGTTAAGCTTGGCTACTTGCATTCATTAGCTTAAAGCAGTTTTTTAAAAAAGGGCAACCCCTCAAGTGACGAAAATCAGAGAACCATCCTGATTTAGCGCTGGACTAAAAGGCAGGACTGGCTAAAAGATGGAAACAAAGCACGACTGCAATGCGTTTGCGCAGCTGAACTTGCAGCTACTCTGTTTGCAATCCCAGCAGAGACACCGCTCTTCAATGGCCTTCTTACCTGTCAAGTCTGATCTTCTTTCTGGCAATGGCTTCCTGGTATCTCCTCTTCCCATCCTGCCAATGGAAACCCCCATGAATTCAAGGGAAGTGTCCCTCGTCTTTACTGTAACCCCTCAAAGGCACCAGGCACTAGTACCCACACGAGGTCTTGCAAGAATGTAAAAAAACCCGGGTCGAGCATGACAGCCTCACACATGCAGCACTGTGACATCAGAGATCGGAAGGCTGCAGCAATGTTTAGTGAAAGAAAAAGACAGCAAGCAGCTCTTGCAGAGCAATGTGAATGTGAATGATCAGGAAAGAGTAGAAGAGAGGAAGAATTCTTGTTGGAACAAGGTCAGGGGTGTTATTCTGTGGCTTCATAACACTGACCTTTTCATGTTTCTCTCATATAAACAAAAATACATTTGAAAGGTTAACTACAAACCTTAAACATTTAATTTTTATTTCTGTATTAATCTAACTCTAATTGTCTTAGCTGCCAGCCACACTTCAGTCTATAAGTATAAATGGTCAGCTTGTAGAGGCTGTTCCTAGTTTGAAAACACAAAGAATGTTTTTTTTTAAAAAAAACCCACGCAGAGATTATCGCTCTTGAGAAGGTTAAGGAGCTTAAAGTTACCAAACAGAGCTGGCCTACACAAGTCATTTCCTCTTGGGGAGATGGGGATCGTGGTGGCAGAGGCAGAGCAAAGCTCTTAAGGATTATAAACATGGGCAGCAAAATGATTTCAGAAACGGAACCAGCTGAACCACATCTATACTGGGAGTGTTTACAGCAGAGCAGTGTTAATATCAAATGTTGCTTCACATCCACTACACTCCAAATCTGAAAAACTACCTTCTGGAAGAAGTGTAACCAAAGGTTACAAAAAACAAGTTCATCCAGAGTGCTGTTTTACTCTTTTATGACGTATGGGCCCCTTCACAGCACTGCATTGACAGCATGTATAAGCAAGCAGCTCACACCTGAATCTTGTTTTTTGTAGTGTATTGTACAAAACAATACAGTACAAAATATTGTTATTTACATTATTATAACTATCAATAATATATACTGTATAATATTATGGCAGTTATTTATATTGTTTTAACTGGATACATCTGTAAAATCCACTGGATGTGTTAAGTGCCCTGTGTATAATTGTGTGGACAATAATGGAGACTCTGATTCTGATTCGGGAGCAGGTAAATTCGGGGCTGGGGACACACACGGTGTGGCAGAAGGATGCCCGGGGGGCTCTCACCACAGGCTCCGGTCGGATGTGAGGGAGTGTGCAGGGCTTGTCGTCTTCTCCCAGCACCTCGAAGGTCATGAACGCGCTGTTGATGTGCCGCGGCGGCTCTCCGCCCTGATAGGCCTCTGCACACACGCCGACCTCCACACTGCGGCACAGAGAGGAGACACGCGTGGCTACAGGAGGGAAGAGCAGGACAGAGCCTGCAGCCCCCAGCTCCTCAGACACTGGCGTACCACAGCCCAGGCCTTGGGGTGAAGATCCGGCTTGATTACTCCACTGTGTACACAAAGCCCTAACCTCAGCACTGCCAGAACACTGCCATTTATTGTTCACATTTCCTGAGTCATCAAGCGGCTACAGGCATGCAGCTTGTTTTTCGCTTACTTTCCGAGACAGGGATAAAAGTGCATATTCATCCAGGATCAACCCGCTGTATAGCTTCGCTGGAGCCTTTGGGCAAAGGGGGCTGAACAACACCCCATCCATAGTAGGTTAAGCTTAGTAGGCTAAGATACGGTGTATACTGTGTCTAATATGGATACAAAATTAATATTATTTGGCTGGCACCTTCATCTATGATTACATTAAAAAAAACAAAATAATAAAATAGCACATACAAAAATGTAAACACATATGTAAAACAACGGCATACAAAATTAATCACATTAAATCTAAATGCCATAATGAATAAAGGCAGTGCCTAAAATTCGTAAACACTGAAACTGGGAGTCAGAAGCACAGCGACATTTTGTGCTCACGACTACCAGTCCTTTGAGTTGGGGATTATTCAATGAGCGCCCACAGTATCTGCAATAAGGACAAAGTCACTTACAAAGCAATCCAACATGCAAAAGACTTTGGTACAAACTTACCAAGCCCTTTCATCTAAAAAACAATGGCCTCATATACTTTTATTGTGCTTTCTTAATCATCTGTCCTTGAGCAACATCTTATCTCTGATTTATCTTAATCAGTTTTTACTGCCGTTGTGCTACAGCCTCACTGACAGCTTAATATTTCATCGGGACAATTATGCATGAAGCTGACACAGAGCAATGCCCTTCCGAAGCGACTGTGTTATTACCGCGCAGAAAACAAATACTTGCAGCCACGCTTAAATCGGAGTACAAGCACCAGCGCACTGTAGTCAATAAGAAAATGTGTTTTTCAAAGGTTTGCCCAAAATAGAAGATTACCAGTAATTCTGTTCACAAAGACTAACAGTTAGAGACTCAAAGATTCTTTTGTCTTAACGTCAGTCTCACACTAATGGATCCAATATTTTTTACAATGAGCTGCTGACAGCATCACAGCAATTCTTTCACTTATCTATAAACATGGCGTGTGCTGCCTTTATCTAGACCCAAGTGTAATGGTGGCTGACAAGCATTTCTTTTTGCCTTCTTCCCCTCGATGTCCTCCCAACAGCCAACTAAAAAGAGCTGAAAGCAACCAAAGGCAGCTTTCCTGGATATCTAAGCTCTATACCTCAACTATGGATGCATCAAGATAAGATAGGAGCTCTTTATTGGCCCTATACAGTTTCTTGCACTAGGAATTTGTCTTTTTTCGCATACCCCAGCTTGCTCTCCCTGAGACACACAGACAGAGAAACAGAGAGAAGCTTGGGGTCAGAGCGCAGGTTCAGCCATTGTACAGCACCCCTGGAGCAGTTGGGGTGAAGGGCCTTGCTCAGGGGCCCCACGGAGTAGGATTCCTCTGCTGCCCATGGGATTTGAACTGGCAAATCCTTCATGCCACAGGCGCAGATCCAGAGGCTTAAGGCTGGACAGGACTGGAAAGGAACAGTTGGTAATGGAAATATATTGTCCTTTTATTGTATAATAATATTATTGTATAATAAAAGGACAATATATTTCCTTTACACAACTGTTCCTTTCAATCAAAATCAAGCTGTCCTTTTCAAACCTGTAGATCCTGCATTCCAAGGATGACATTGAAACTGAATATACATGTGTATCTGCCAAAAGGTACCTTTATATAATCAAGATAACTCTTTCACAACCTGAGTCAAAAATCTTAATTTTAGCGCTCTTTACAGCACATCATCTCACTGCACCGTACAATTCACTGCATGCTGAAATACTTCGGATACAGAATTTCTTTCCCCATCAGCATGATTTTCTAGAAACCCCTGCAACGTCGTTTTCAGAGGAAGAACAGCATGAGGCTTTTAAAAAGCCAACAAATTAAAAAACACTCCTCAACCAGCTGGGATACATTCACAAACACTAGGCTTGGACCAGCCCCAGTACACTGTTTGTTCAGTAAGTGTTTAATAAACTTCATTTAAACACCGCAACAGTGTCTGGTCTCCACCGCCCACGCATCAGAACACCTTCAGACCCAGATGAGGTGTTACATGTTCATGGGTTGTTGTTTTGGTTAACATCCAAGCTGCAGCCTGAAGCCTTCCAGCAGACCTACCTTTTCTTGAAAGCGTTGTTGACGATGGCCTTCAGAACCACGCGGTCTCCCACATGAGAGGGAGCCCTGAAGTGGAACATGTCAATGCCTCTCAAAGTGGGGTGAGCGTTGCACAAACGGCTGCAAAAGAGAGACATTTTATTGCGGAATATGAACCACTTTTCCGTTTAAGGACTGTAAGCTGGGCTAGGCTGAGGCCTCTGCTGACATTGGCCTATAAGGGCTCCCAGCGTTGTAACAGTGATGCAGGACAAGATAGAAAGGGGCAACCCTCACCCACAGAAAGCAAGGGTGCCCCCTAGTGGAACACAGAATGATAGCTTCTTTGTGAAACCCTGAAGATGCCAGGATAAAACAAAAAGACACAATGGTTGCCCTTACACAGCTGAATTTTGTCTAAAACTGTTGAATAAAACCCATCGTTAACAGGCTCTTCTCAATAACAGCACAGAATGTTAGGAATCGGAATAAGCAAACGCGTTTGAGTGTGAGGCTTAAAGTGCGCAGCACTGTGGGTGTCAAGTGCAAATGCAAAGCCCCCGTTTTCTCAGGTGGCGCTCAAGAGGAAACACCTCCCCAAATGGAGTTACAGTTCCCCAAAATGTGCAAGTCACGGGCTTACACTGCAGCTCCTGTCTATCATACAGAACAGGCGACTTCGATTCTCGCCGAGACAACAACACAACGGTACAGCGGCTCGAGAGCAGGACCTCCCGCCTTTTCAGCCCAGACTCCGCGACCAGCTTCAGAGCGTGCAGGGACAAAACACCCCCATGTGTTCATTCGCACAAAGAGGCTCCCGCTGTCCTGACGATTTATGGGCACACCCGCCGCCCCATATAAAGAACGGGGCCGCTTTTGCAACGTAATAAAAAAACCCTGTAACGAGCAAAAAGATTACCCTCGGTGCTTAAACGTGTTATTTAGGCATTAGCTGTGCCACGCAGAGCCGGGGGCCCAGTACCTTGCTGCAATGGTGGCCACATTCTCCATCCAGGCCATGATCTGCCCTCCAAAGGTGTTGATCTGGTGGTTGGCATGGGGAGGCAGTACCAGCTCTACGCTCTCCACCCGGGTCTTCTCCGCTGGCACGGCGTCCTGGTGCTCCTCGCACTCCTCAGCTGCCGAAAGGCGAACACAGAGCCTGGCATCAGAGCCACGTGTGGGCCGACACACAGAGGAGCTGGCAGTGCCGGTCAGAGACGGCTCCCGGCGAGAAGACTGCATACACGGGGGTTCGACGTGTTTTCGGTACAAAATCCGTTAAACGGGATTTTAACACCCTCTGCAGTTGTTTCGTAATCTAGCAGAAAGAGGTCAGTAAACGCAATTATAAAAAAACGAGTCACGTCTACGAGGTACTAATTTCAATACTCTCTGGGTTTCTGTGCAGCTGCAGTTCCTCTGTTACTTCATACGACTTTTTCTACATTGCACTAGTGTTTTGCAACAAGTGCATCACAGTGTGTAAATGAGAAAATTAAGTTACTTGACAGTTTAAATCAGAGGTGAAAGCATTCAGGACTGAAAGGATGAACTTGGACGTGAATTATTCTTGAAGTCTCAAGGACTGTGTCTACTGTGAAGTGGCAAGCGCGCCACTCCACAGGATATGTTTTTCCACTCACGCCAGCTGCTTGCTGGTGACCAGGCCTGATCGGCAACCTAACAGCTCACAGCTCCAACTCTGCCTGCGGACAGCGACGTCCTCCCCAGTGCTCCCACCGGCTCCCTGCAGCCTCTCAAAGTCTGACAGATGTGGGGGCGCCTGACCTGTCTGAAAGGTGCCGTTGCTGAGCAGGTCTTTCATGATCTCGGCGTGGATGAGTCTCATCCTCCGGCGCTCGGCGGCGATGCTGTACTCCATCTGCTCCTCCTGTGTCCTGGGGATGATCTGCTTCAGCTGCACCTGCGCAGACACCAGGACAGGGGGAATGAGGACAGGAGTGCCTAATGACTGTCAGCCGGAAACACCATTAAGCCTGGTGGCTACTTCCAGAAATGGGTCCTTCAGGAAGGTTCTACTTTTTTCCTATAACTGTGTTTGTAAGAACCGCCAAGATTTTTAGCTTTTAGAGATGAGTTTCACAGATGCGATAGAGCAGCTTTAAGAATTTCATACAGAGCCCAGGAGAGGGGGAGGAAAAAGTGATTTTCAAGCAAGCATAGGCAGAAGGACAAGGAGCTAAATTACACAGAGCTAATGGTAGACCTCAGCTATATAAACACGCTTAACAGTCTAAAGGGTGTAAATGGGTTATACGACATCAGGAGTTCGAGAAAGTGGTTAATTCTACCTGATCTCACCTTCCCTGAATCCGTGCGCCTTGCCACAAACGTAGCAAAGGCATTGCACACCTTCCACTGCTGCCCAACGAACAGGTCCTCACAGCTCACCACAATACCCACCTGAAAGGCAAGGGACGTTTATTTCACAGGTCGGAACGCAGAATGCAGGTGGTTAAATACCAGGTGGTTTAATTCTAAAAGCCCATTCTTAATTGTTTAATTTAACCACAAATGAAGAGATAAAAAAAAGCCATCGTACGTTTCGATATACAGCTCTGCCTTAATGCCTTGGATTCCAATATCACTGGGCACGTTCAAAAATGTCTGCAGATCCTTGACCAGGATTGCCTAGGTGGTGTCACACAACTGCTGGTGCAACAGCAAACCCTGCCGGGTCAACAGGTGCTGCAGGCACAGGGTGTCATTACCGCGGGGACACACCTCTCCTGCAGTCAGCTCTGAGACCTCACTCGGCGTCAGCGCTGGGCGTGCGGCGTGTCAAAGGGCGCAGGACTTGGTGTGCATGGGGGGCCTGAGGAGCCCGTCCGCGCGTCCTTATTGTCCACGAGTTCTGCCCCGAAAACACGACACCCAGCTACCAATTCCAAATTGAGCAGGTATTGCAGAAAAAATCATCGACAAATCTGAATTATTTTAGTTCCTTGTGGAGCTCCAGGATCATTTGTATAACCAAAACCTGGAAAAGGCTCAGCCAGATGGCTTCCTCTCATCGGGAGCCTGTCTCAGATTCTTAAGAAAGCGATGACCGGGCAATAATCTGAACAGGTGCTTGCAGGAACTTCATCAGTAACACGGTGCAGCAGTTATTACTAACCTCCATGCTGGAGTTGAAGGCTCTGTTGACCTTAGCCTTGATGTTTACTACTTGTCCAACCCTAAAAGAAGAGAACAATTTTACTTCCCATGTGTGTAACAGAAAACTGCAGGAGAAGATAAAGGTTGCCTTGGGGGATATGAACTCCAGCTTCTTCCTTTAACTCATTTTGCCACATAAGTCTGTGTGTAACCATCAAATCTAGAATAAACACTCCTCGATCTGTTATGATGCCCAGAATCAGCATGAGGAGAAACATATAGTTTTATCTTACAAATTAAGAATACATAAATAAAAGCATAACTTCTACACATAATTGATTACTATAATTCACAACCGTTGTATTTTGGGTTCCTTCTACAGAGAAGCGTTTCCTAATCTCTGCTTCAGATAAAGGTTAGCTGAAACTCTCAGTGGGATCCCTCTAGGAAAATCCCCCCTCCTCCATTAAACCCATTTCCTTTAGTATGGCCCCAAGCAGCACTGGCGCAAACCTGCTATCACACACACGCTCAGGTAAGACATCTATCGGAGCAGAACATCTAGAGACTTCAAGCACTAAGCCGTGCTGTGCGCTGCATACAAAGCAAAGACTATTCCTGCAGGGTGAGCTCCAGAGCCACTTGCAGCAAGGCTTCTGAATTTTAATCAGTGCTTATTTTATGAAGTGCTCCTCCTTGGTGAGCACCACCTCCAGCGTGATTGCGCGCATGCAGAAGAGCCACAGGTCCCAGCCAGCAGGTTTCCTATCCCAGGAGCCCCATCGGCAGTGAGGTACTTGGAGAGAGTGAGTTTTAGTTATCGCTTTACAGCAAAAAGCCACATGTCCCACAAGTTTGCGTGTATGGATGCAAACATGGATACCCCTCTTCGAATGCACCAAAATACAATTTTCTCATTCTTATTTACTTCTTAAACTACACCCCATACACATCAATACCCCTAAACTGCAAAGGCACCCAGTGTGGTCTTACAAACATTTTACGAAACAATGTACCAAGGCAATTTCCATTTGTGTCTGACATTTCTTGATATTTTCAGACAAAAAAGATGATCAATTATCTGGTTAAATGTCTGTCTGGCTGTCTTTTGTATATACGTACAGCAGGTAAAATTGCATTTAAATGTATGGATTATTCTTTTCCTCTATTTTAAGATCAGAAAGACTGCATCTTCTGCAAATGTTTACAAAACAATCATGCAAAACATCTGAATGTTTTAAATACTCATGTTTTAAGATGTTCTTGACAGTCAGAAACCACTCGTTCTTAATTAAGATGGGGGAAAAAAAAGTCTTTACCAAAAACTCAAACATTGTTCAATAAAAAACGGAATCATAAATCAGCATCATACTGCATCATACTGCAGCTAAATATCCGCTTTTCTCTCTGGCACAGACAACAAACGGGCTGAAGAGAAGACTTCCCAGCTAGTGGGAGCAATAATGAAGACGCGCGTCTTCTCTGCATCCTGAAGGCTAATCACACAGATGTTTCTAACCTCATTGTCAGGTAGAGAAAGATGAGGGAGATGAGTGGGCTCAAAGTTTGCTTTGGTGTCCTTTTTTTTTTCTTCAGCAGCATTTTAATTGAATTCTGCTTGCTGTAATTAAAACCCCCATGAGTGGCAACAGTTGCGATAATTAATTAGGCCTGCTCGTAGTTTACACTACTCAAGAGAGCTAATTAGAGCTGGCTGTAAAATAGTCAGTGACTCTTCAAATTTTATTTGCTTAACAAATGACAGTTTTAGCAACACAGCTGGGGGTTCTAATAGCTTAACAGCACTGGGCACCTGTCTGAGTTGTGCTGAACATTGATCAAAAGTCATGCTGTACGATAATTAAGGGTCTTCCTTCAAGTGCTGCCTGGTCTCCATCAAGATCCCTGGGGGGTTCTGATGCAGTGGGGCTGCTGCTGATTGGCCTGGGAATCAAGAGGCTCATTCCTATCCTGGCAGGTTATTATCCAAAGGTGGCTGGGATTAATGGCCACCCAGTCCATATGGCTTGCAACTTGCAAGCAATGCAAACACAATACAATGCAAAAAAAAAAAGCATCCACTCAAAAACACATCGATAGCATTTCAGCCTCGCGAAATACATCTACCCAGTAAAACCTCAGTAGAAACCTCAGTAGGCATTTTTATTCAAAGTCTGAAATCTGACTACAGGGACCCACCCCCAGGTCTGAACGAGAAAATTGTGACAGATTGCAAAAATTTCCACCAGAATAAAAAAAAAATTCCAATCCCAATGCTACCCACAACTAACTCAAGGAACAAATCTACTGTATGCGTTCCCAGTTTTCATATGCTGTCAGTTCACGTGCATGATTAATTTGGAGTTAACGGTATTAATTTAGTATTACAACACCGCAGACATGACAAATTATACCTTTATACTTGCTCTTTTAGTAAGGCAAGCTCAGTTCTTGGTGCGATTGTCTTTATAAACCTTTTCAAAGTCCCTGAAAAGGAGAGTGTTTTGACCTACAGAGCAAAAAGCACCTTGTTCGCATATTCTGTCCCTGCTCCTTCAGATCTGCCCTGTGTCTGAGGCAAAGGAATCAGGGAATGTCCCCACTCAGCACTACAGTGCAGTCTTGGGAGACCCCCGGAGCTACAAGCAATTACACACATGCTTTGCGCTGTCTCCTGTGAATTCCCATTCTGCTTCTAGAGACTAAACACAGAAGTGCAAGCTTACAGATAACTTGTATAGAACATCTGAGGCTACTAACCTGCAGACACACACCCTGCAAAAATGAGCAAGTTAATTTATTATTCTACTTTACATTCCAGTGTCTGAGGACATGAAATCGAGCCATTTATTTTTCGGGACTTTGCATTTATGGAAGACGGTTAGAAAATTACCCGATAGTGTGTTCAAAATTGATATCATCTACAGAGGCTGTTATGCAGGGACATCCGGCGTGTCTTTCAGCTGAAATCAGACAAGAAATTGAAGACGGTTAAGATCCCTGTATAGATAACATATAGGACACACATTTCCAATACAGAATGGAAAGAACAGATATAGAACGTGGTTAAGTTAGTTTACTTATTCTGCAGATCCAGCCATCAATTTTTCAACCACTTTATTCAATACAGGGTCACAGGGGAGCTGGAGCCTGTCCTGCCAAGCAATGGGTACAAGATGGGGTACACCCCAGACAGGACGCTGGTACATCAGAGGGCACACACTCACACAGGGCCGGTTTTCCCAGAAGCCAATTAACCTCCCAGCATGTCTTTAGATTGTGGGAGAAAACTAGAAAACTCAGAGTAAACCCATATGAACTCGGAGAGAACATACAAACTCCACACAGACAGCCACCCAGGTCTGGAATCGAGCTCGGGGGTCCCTGCGCTGTGAGGCAACAATGCTCACCACTGTGCAACCATGCCACCCCAAAGAGGAAACACATGACATTTATAGGTAGGGGAGCTGCGTCAGCATGCGTAGGCTGCAAAGGAACAAGTAACAGGTTTATTCCCCGCTGAAAAGAGCAGAAAGAAAACACTTCGGCTGCGGAGCCCTCTTCGGGTGTGATTTTACATTTTTAAACAACTTTAATCTTTAAAACGGTGATTATCACTATTCAAAGTTCTTCATTCCTAGCAAGTTCCCTCACCCCACTATTCAACTAAAAGATCAAGTTAAAAGAAAAGGATGAAATGCAACTAACGAGACTCTGTATACAATACAATAACTGCGGATTGAGGCGTGAGGTGGCAGGCGTTTTTTCCTTTTTAAGTTTTAAGGGGCGCAAATGAGTAACGCGTGTCGGACAGGCTCTCTGTAGAGGAACCGCTTGCTGGCGCGCCACTAAGCCAGACTGGACTAGCAGGATATTTTTCAGTGCTGCCTTCAAAAAAAAAAAAACAGTGTGGGCACCCTCAGTCAGGAAGCTCTCAGCAACAGAAGTCGCTGCGGACTGTCAAGAGGGCGGAGAGAGGGGAGTCTCACCGGAGAGGCAGGCGGTGGAGTCCATCCACTTGAGCAGCTGCCCCACGCTCAGCTCGCCGCAGTGGTTCGCGTGGCACGGCAGCACTATCTGGCTCATCTTGACCTCGGTGGGGTTTCTGTAGACCTCCCCACTCTCCAGGATAAACAAGGGCTCCTGCGGGAGCGGGGTCTCTGGGCCGCTTGACATCGCTGCTTCAGAACTGCAGAGGCAGCCCTGGTGCAAAAACACAAGTAAAGCAAAAAAGCAATTAGTCTCACAAAAAGTGAGTTATTATTACTGCCAGGAAGACAACTTTCATCTTAGCTTTCCGAGTGTGGGAGCTGTTCTTTTTCCCCTTAAAACCCTACTGTTTGTACTGTTAAATGGCAGGGTGTTAAAATGAATTTGCCTGAAAATTCAATCCCAACGCACTGCTGGTGAAACAGTAAAACAGTACGGTGTATGTGCACTACAGCATTTGCAAAGTAAAATACCCAGACCCACATAAAATATTTTCAAGTTATTGAAAGGTGAAACCTTTAGGAATTCGCTTTCAAGAAACTCGCAGGTCCTCCTTTTTTGCCCAGCCTGAGTAACGTCCGATACCACATTTAGAAAATAGCACACTTAAAGAATAAAAAATGCAAAGAAACAGAATAATCAGAATATGCTGTGCACACAATGTACGCAGGGATTTAGAAAATGGGGTCTTAAATGGTTACAGTAGTGGTTTTACTACACACATTTTAGGACAGTGTGTACTTTGCATTCTTATGATCATCTGCAGTTTCAGCTGTTTTCAATTTAGTTTTTATCTAAGTTCACAAAAGGAATTTGTGGATTTCTGGATTTTTAATGCTAAGTAGCTACAATCCATGCTATAACCATACTGTTTATATATAAGCCCTCAGCTTTCTTTCAATTCACTGTTCCTTCCTCTATGTACCTTCCTCACTGTACCTTAACCCTCTATGCTAATAATTACAAAACATAACACTCAATGCTGCTCTTGGGCCCGTTATTTAAAAAAAGCCACATGATCGGTGCTTTGTCAAGCTCCGACATGGCCACAGCTCAGAAAACAGCTAATTCTGAAGAGCAGTAATGATGCATCTTGGATCTGTGGCAGAGAAACCACAGAAAAGGCCAATGTTTGACCAGCGTCACAGACTAGGCTTTAATAGGTCTCTGAGGGAGATCGGACAACTGATGGCTCCCAGTACGATCCCGAGGAGCTCAGTGGGATCCTCTCCATTCAGTGTAGCACGAACAGCACAATCAAGAGAACATCATAATAACTCCTTACACTTATACAGCACTGTTCTGCACACTCCACTCAAAGCGCTTTACAGGTAATGGGGACTCCCCTCTACTGCCACCAACGTGCAGCCCCACCTGGATGATGCACCAGTACTCTCACTGCATACCAGCTCTCAGTGGGGGGATGAAGCCAGTTCAGAGATGGGGATTATTTGGAGGCCATGACTGGTAAGGTCTTTTATTTTTACCTGTGCTACTTTGTTGACAAGTGTGGGATAAATGTCCCACCTCACCTTTTCTTCCATTTCTCAAAAAGAAGCCTCTCTGGAATCTGACCGTGGACAGAGAGGAGTTGTTGCAGCTGTTTTTAAAAAGACCCGGAAAACTTGACTTGGAAAACACGAGGCACCTCCAGGGCTGCCCAGCCCTGTCCCAGACCACCCACGAAGGCTGAAGCACTGCCTCCACCTCGCATTCAGGAAATCACCTTACTCAACTGACAGCAGCGTTTTCTTTCATCAGACTTCTGATTCCTTGGCAAATTTCAGAAAAAAAAACTACAAGCCCCATATGATGTAATCTGAGCAATGCCTGAAGCATGAAAAACATCTTCTATTTCCTCCACAATGTTCTCAAATAATAACCGTGCAGTACTGATTTATTAGCACTTTTATCATATTTTGTACTACACACAATATTGATTTGGGAGAAGGGCTTGGACAAGCAGCTTCATGTTAGAATGAGAAAGTCATAACTGCCTTCGAAGTTGTTAACTTTCAGAAGAAGAAGAAAAACTGGTCAGACTTTGAAAAGCGGAGTAGTCAATGGGCTGTGCTTTGTCTGTGTCTTGGCAGCGCCCTATTGATAAAACACTGGCAAACATACAGAGACTGAAAACAGCCAGTTAATTCAGCACAGCTCGTACAAAGCCTTCCCACACTACAACTGGAGATGAAAACATTTCACTCTGGTCTCTAACAACTTTTGTTTTCCTCACACCTCTTTAAAGGCCCCTCGCACACATTATGAAAAAAGCAGGCTTATGCACGCACACAAACTACAAAATCCATTATTTGGAAGACCCACGAACTACAAAACCCAGATGATTAACTTGTCTTTGACAGCAAGAGACGAACACGAGAATTCCAGAGGAAGTGGTTTTGAAGCCTTGCAAGTCATTCCCCAAAACTGTCATCGCTAGCCTTCTCTTCTTCTGTGAACATCTACTGCCTGTGTAAGCATTTTCACACTGGGAAACACTAGTGGGTTTTAACAAATGTGCCCGCACAGACTTAACACAGGTCTTTAAAATGGAGTATAAATACTAAAAAATAAACAACCAAGCATTTAATAGTCTTGTACCGAGCTGGCATCCAGAAAAACGTCATTTCCTTCCTACGCTGCAGACTGCTGCTAGTTGGAGGTAATAACTATTACAAGTTCCAGTCCTCTCTGGCTCTTAAACGAGTTTTGAATGATTACTTAACGGCAGCATAAACTGGGATCTTATAAAAGTCAGCATAAACTGGGATCTTCAAAAACGGAACAGTGACAAGTTAGCTATTCAAACCACATGCCTGCACCAGGATAACTCATTTATATTTACATAGATAAGCAGATAAGGACAATATTATTATTGTTGTATTGTGTTAGTACACAAGAGAGCCACCTACTACCCCAACCAGAAAAGCAGAGACAATACAACCACAGTGCACCACTTTCTAAAACACTGCCCCAGGATTCAGAGCTTTATATACTGACCGTCCTCAGACCTGAGTGTCACTTTACTGCTTCCCGCTGCGGTGCTTTAAGGATGCAAGCACTACGAAACAAGCGAGATCAGGGAGATGCGTCTGGATCAGGGCCATATTGCCTTGACTATCTCTGCCCCCGGGGCAGGAACTCTCCGGCAGCTCTCACTACTGCCCCGCATCACAGCTGCGTCACTTCACGTCCCATATTCGAGTTTTGCAACCGGGTACGAGAAACGTGTGCTAGTCATCTGACCTTCAACACAGACTTCTTTAAAAGCAAATGAGTAAAACCTCCATCGAGTCACTGCATCCGCGCTGAGAGATAGCATACTTCAGGAACTGAAGGTCATACTTTAAAAAAAAAAAAGAAACACAATTCTTAATAGCCTTTACCACCGGAAAAGCAAGAACGCACTGTGTGCTCTTTGGGCAACGTCTGCACTCTATATATAGACTCTCACCTTACAAAAATACTGGAGTCCCAGACAAGTATTGCTGCTGGAATGTGCTCTTGCCCTCTGTTGCTCGGCTCTTCAGGAAGAACGGTGTCAGAGCGGTGTTACAGTATGCCAATTGACAGTTTTACAGTCTAACGATACTGGCCAGTGCCCGTCTCTTACGCAGTACGCCTGTCTGTGGTAGCTCTGTCCCCAGCCGGCGAACCCCCTGTCACTCGTCAGCTTCCATTGGTTTTTTGAACGACAGTTTGCGCCGAAGCAGCTCTGGACCAAAGACAGAGCGCCGGGGAGGAACAAGAGCTCCTGGACCTGCTCTGGCTGAGAGAACCAGTCTAAAACACCGCCCTTGGCTTCTTTCATGAAATGGCTGGACGAGACCGTCGGATCAATTAAATTACCAACTACCAGCTGGGCCAGCAAGGCTGAACGGCCTCTCTTTTCTCACCCCTCTCACGCTTATTAACCGTGTGTATTCTTAACAATATACAATATACAAGAACATATAATATTCTTAATATAATGTATTATAGCTCCACAAACACAGACCCAGTGTAGGACCAGTCAGATAAAGCCCACTTTATGGACTGTGGTGATTGTTGATTTTACTCACTGCCTTACTGTTTCTGCAGACCCTCAGAAAAGCCATTTACTCCGAAATGATCAATATTCAATGATCATCGGTACCTAATCGTTCTGATAAATCGGAACTTCAAGCTAAACAACGTTGACTGGCTGTGAACTGGTGAATCTGGACAACAAAATCTCTCAGGACAGGCTACCGTATATCTTCTGTTTTGTGAGAAACTTCAAAAATACATATTTCAATATGAATTAAAGGTGAGTGCTCACTATATTAAAGTACAAGGCTTTCATCGTTTTTTAGGTTCACCAAAGAGTATCTGCACAGCAGTTTCACGGGTTTTTCTGTTTGTAACAATCGCTTTGGTTTGTCGTTGTTTTTCACGGTTTCATCATGATTTATTGTGACTTTACTGTGTTTAATCGACTGTTTTGTAACACAATTGGCTCTACAGCACTGAGAAATGGCTGTGAGCAGGTGTTAGGACACATTCTGCATCTCCCCCATATACAGGGGGATACCACACATCATGGTTTGTCCAAATTTGTCACAACACTGACAGACCAGATGAGCTCAGTGCCTGTGAAAAGTCCTGAAAGTGTCTGAAATAAAAAAAAATAGGTTTGGGGTGAGAGAATTTGCACGGCGAGAGAGTTTTCTTTTTGCACTAGAATTTGTAAACATGTTCATGTGGAGACTTGCAATGTAAAACTAACGTAACCTCGCTAATTCCTATACTGTGTGCGAGTTGGGACCGTTCAAATTAAAGATGCTTTCCCTGAATCAAACAAAGCGAAACAAAGTAATACCGTATGTACTATACACTTCCTTCATAAACGCCTTTCAGTACACATTGTAACAGATTCACGTGTTACACAACTGTATTATCTTAAGAAGGCATGAACAAAAACACGTTTGCACATAAATACCACAAGTATATAGTTACAAAACCACATACAGCTGTCGCAATTTGCAAAACAAGTGTAAAAAAAAGCATTACGCTCCAAACAGAGGAGATTGAGCAACTCTGTATACACCGCTGACAGGTCCTCCGATTTGTCCTTTTAAGTTTGTCACCGGGTAACTTCAAAACTCTACAGTATGTAAATATCGTCTTACTTTAAAGTGGATCCTGAAAGTCAGACCGCATCTGCTTCGGCCGGCCGGCCGGCGGGCTCGCCAGAAAACGAGGTTCGGTGATTTTTTTGGGGGTGTTTTTTTTTTGCTGCAAGACCGTATCGGAATAACTACCGGAAATCCCGACCAACTTCAGACAACCCGGTCACAGCCCGTTTTGACCACACACACCACTCTCCCCGTACTTAGATGGCGCTTGGCGGAGGAAAACGAGGACACACCTCTCAAAAAGTCATTCCCCTTAAACTACACTAAGTCGGCGCGCACTGAGACGCGCTCCCCTCGCCAGCCCTTACGCACTATTCACCATTGCGTTTGCGACCTTCGCCTATGGTGGGGCCATGCTCGGCATGGACTGCTCCGGCAGGATTACGCCTCTTTCGTATTCTATAGACTACAGGCTAAAACTCTGGACTTGAGCTGTAGGAAAGGGACTGTCAAAAAAGGGAGAACCCTTACTAATGCAAGACAAGACGCAAACGTGCTAGCAAATGCATTATGACCCATCTGAAGTTAGGCTTGCTAATTTATCACAATTTATGATGATGGTATTAGCGGTAGTGGTGGTGGACTGCCCCCCCAAAAAGGTCTGTTTGGGGCAGGGATTAACAACTGCAATTTACTCTCTTCCAAGGCCCGTTACCCTGCGCGGAAATATGTTTTTAAAAAACGTGTCTGCGACGGAGCTCACTGTACCTGAAAGGGGGCACTTGTTCGCTTTGCACTGTTTTGTGTCGTTGAAACTAAGTCACGCCGAATCCTCTCTGTAGCAAAACGCCAAGGTTGGCGCTGGGCAAAGAGAATAACCCAATTCCTTCCCATTTCTTTATCGACGTGTCGCGGCATGCGCTCTGAATTGTTGACATTGTGCACTTTTAAAAAAACTAACCCAGTAACAGACGCGTGCCTCCATTCATCGGATATATAATATGTGAAAAAAAATGATCCGGTCTGGCGTGCTAGTTACAGTAGTTGTTGTTGTTGTTGTTGTTGTTGTTGTTGTTGTTGTGAAACTATGTCTCGTTCCTTTTAATTCTGGCCTCGGTACAGTTTGTGCTGCTAAATCGAGAAATGTAGCATGTTTCAGACTCAAACACATGTAAACCAGCAGATACCCCAAGGTTATAAACACCCTGTGAAAACATGGTATAAATATTTATGGATGATAATTGAAATGGTTAATTAGCCGACATTTTCAATAATAACACACGAGGCGCTTATCTGCCACAAATCATTGCATGCATGGGTCTTCAGTAACATTTACTCCGTTGGAATCGTCTGCGGTTTAGGGAAGTATTTTTAAATGGGATCTTAAGGAAGCGTTAGGGATATGCATTATTTCTTGATCTTCCGATCTAAACAGAAACAAAAACGCGCTGTCTGTGCCACTGCATCGCTGGCAGGGATCACTGAACCATCCAGCCTGCGACGCCTCTCTTCGCCAACAGAGGGCGCCGTGGTTGAGGAGACATTGTCTCGGCGTGGTAGTGTAAATTTACAAGGAGACGGTCCACCTGTCATAAGAATTAGCCAAGGAGACGGCTCTGCTGATCAAATAAGTTACGAACAGCCACATGCATTTTCTCCTGTGTATGCCTTATCTATCACCTACGTTAACCACGAAGGCACAATATTTCGCTTTGGCACCACAATCCCTTTGTGTTGCTAATAGCTCAGACATTTGATCGTTGTCTTTTCTTAACTGTTCATGAAGTAAAACGCCTTGTTGTATGAGCGGAAATATAAAGATTAACAAAAGAAAACAATGTCCTTTGATAAACAGGGGAGTAATTTTGTGCTGATGTGAATGAGTGACATAGTGCTAAACAAACACGTCTAAGTCCACGTTCACATAACCCATTTTCACCGACATTATGTCATTAAACATTAATTTCAAAATAACGTTACTAAGCGATGGTGCACAGAAAACATCGTTGTGGTTATTCTAAATCATTTTCAAAGTGTTTTTTTTAAACTAACGTGCATGTATGCATTTCACTGCGTTTTTTTTACAAGCTACAAATGAGAAAATGTCTCTATGCAAAATTGTACATTTAAGAACAAGTTCGTACAAGTTAGCTTTAAATTCCATTTCCCGAGTGCAAACCTCAATCAAACAAGTTTGCATTCTTCGTTAGTTCATACCGGTATTTACTTGTACAGTATTTTGTGTAATTGTCGGTCTGACTAGTTTTGATGGCACTTTTTCTCGAACCAAATCGCACTTCGTAACGTCGCAGGTGTGTTGTCAAATTAAGGGGAAAAAGTCTCGACCGGTACATTAGCTCTTGAGCTCTTAAAGCCCACACACATTTCTGCTCCTTCCTAAACTTAAGTTACAAGAACACAGGAACTACTGAAACTGAAAATAGAAAAGGAACTGTCGAAATAGAAAAATGAAGCTCATGTCCATTTTAAATGCAGTAATAAAACACTCAAAATATATCCTATAGGTATTTCTAATTTTGCCTTCTCTATCCTGCGGGGGTTACTAATTGATTATTCAGTCTCATCAGTCAAGTCCTGCAGGAAAGGGTGGGATCCCCGTCTTATGCTTCAAACGATCTTTTGTTTTATTTCGTGCTTTAGGAAAGGAGAATGCCAAACCAGAGGTTTTATACCGTTATCATACGAACAGACTCTTGCCGGCTGTTCGCATTGCGCCTCTGCTGTTTCTGGCTCGGAGGGAAATAATTAAATGAGCCGACTTTACTCGTTTTCGATATTAATCTATTCCTGACGCGTTTCCAGAGTTTCACCTCTGGAGAATTTTCCTATTCTTTATCTTCTTTTTTTTTCTACTCTTAAAATAAAACAGCCCATAGAAATTCCCCTGTGCAATGTTGCACGGGGAGGGAAAAAAAAATAGGTGAACAAAGCTCATGCCTGTTACATACAAGCACAGCTAGCTCGTACTAGCGCCTGAAGGTCGCGATCGCACCGGCGACTACGGGTGCACGGCCTCTCTTTCACTTCTGCGTCAAAAAAAAAAAACCCTCACATGAACTTTAATAACCGCAGGTTTCTACCCAAAACAAAGAAGCAACAATCGAGCAACAGGAGAGTTAAATCCTTCCGGATGAACCCTCCGGAGGGGGCGCAGCGCGGTACACGGAATGCTCTGACACGGCGCTCCTCCAATGAGTTACAATCTGCAGGCGGTTTCAAGCTGCCCCCTTCTCCATTTCCAACCCCAAGAACCGCTGAGACTTTTTAACACACACGCGTCCCTGTAACCCTCGGCTTCCCGGGCTTGCTGTCCGGTCCGTACGGGCCCTGGCTGGAGCGGGCTTGAAAGGGGAGGGTATGTTTAATCGCTTGACAAAATGAAAGTGAGCCTGGACGCTTATCCCGACATTACTAGGCAAGACTGTACAGCAACCCTTCAAAAAAAACAAACCTAATGTTCCCTATGTTTTTTAATAACTAATATCAGAGGATGCTACACATAAAACAGGATTCCAGCCCGTAAGGGAATCATTTGTAGCCTAGAAACACTTTTCAGGGCCACGTTTTCCCCCTCACCCCTCTTTTTGAAAATGAAAACACCAATGCACATGGTTCCGAAGTCACGGGGCAGTCTAGGTCTACAGCTCCAGCGTCTTCTAAGTGTTCTGCAAACATATCTGGGGTAAAGGGAGAGGTGTGCAGGGGGGTTGTAACGTTGAAAAAAACCCTTCCAGTGTGCGTTCCGGTTCTTCCTGGTCAATTCCGGCTCCGTGGCAATTCAGAGCCACAGTACCTACAGGGACGTGGGATTTGTTTTTTCCTCTAGCTTTCAAAAAGGCAAATGATCTGTATTGTCAGTCGCCTGTTGGCTGGTGCCGTGCCTCTCTGACCCGTTTCTCAAGTCAGTCTGTGCCCCAGGGAGCACTTTCCCCCGTCTGTGAAGTCGCGACTCTGCTCTGTGCACGATCACGCACCAATCACCCCCACTCCCCTTCAGCTGAATGTGAAAACCCTGGAGCCCAGGGTGCTCTTTTGCGCGTACTCTTCGTGGAAACTGACGCGTGTCATGACAGGTGTGGTAGGGTGATGAATGCGAGTGGTGTGCTTTTCACAGAAAACTGGGGAGACAGCGAGCAGCGAGCTCCTCGGGAGAGTCAAGACGAATGAAGCGACTGAATGTCTCTCAGGAACCTAAGAAAGTCGACAGATAAGGTGGTGGTGGGGCTCTTTGGCCCATCGCTCTTTTTCTAGTATCTGGGGATCTCATCCAGCTTCCTCAACATGGCTGAGCAGCTTGTTCCACACTCCCACAACTCTCTGTGTAAAGTCGTGCTTCCTGTTCTCAGGTTTTAAGAGCTCTTCCACTTAGTTTCCATTTGTTGCTCCCTGGTTCATGTTTGACTATTGATTCTGAAGAAGTCCACGAGGTTTACTCTGTCCATGCCTTAGAGTATTGGAATCCGAGTGAAATGTGCGATTTAACCATCGATGAGAATAACAAAAAAGAATTATACTGATAAAACAGCTGCAGGTGTTCACAGGCACGCAGAGTTCCACAGATCCGTCCTACATTTCGTAGTAAAAAAACTCTTCGCTGATTCATTGACAGAGACGTATTTCAAAGCAACATTGAATAGTCCATCCATCCGTTTTCTAACTGCTTCATCTAATTCAGGGTCAGGGGTGAGCCGGAGCCTATCCCAGCAAGCAATGGGGCAGGATACACCCTGGACAGGATGCCAGTCCATCACAGGGCATGAATAATCTCGGTGTTTGAATCCATATATTCCTGAAACGTGAGATGCAGATCTCTTTTAGTTCTGGTCCCCAGAGAAGGCTCGGAAATTACAGCCATCCCGTTTCTAGGGCTGAAGCCCATGTTTCCTGGCGACAGGATAAAGAGAGGAATCTGCTTTCCCCCCGGCTCAAGAGGACTGAAGGTAAACCTGCCTGGGACCTCTAAAAGATTGAGAAGAATGAATAGGTTTTGTATTCGGCAACACAATAGCAGAGATCAAACCATGTTTCGCCAAAGCTGATACAGACTGGACAGAGCAAAAGAGCCTTTTCCTATAGAAGGCAGTTAACGTGTGGGCCAGCACCTCATGCAGTTGAACCTTCTACACTGGGACATGCAAGACGAAGATGCATTTCAGTGCCACTCAACAAGCAGGATACAGTACGTGTGTGCTGTGGACCAGAAGCGATGCTGGTTAATCTGAAGAGAAGGCAGCCCCATGACCATCAGATGTGTCCTTCCTGGGTGAACGGAGTGCCCACCTTCATCCTGGCAGAACCCACCTTGTCTCCGGGTGGCAAAGGGCTCTGCTGGGTGTGTACCACCACTGTCAGCCACAGCCACCTGGCAACAATCCTGTCAGGTGTTCCAGTGCAGCACACGTGAGATTAGAAAATGCTCCCTTAAAATAATCTGGGAGAACATCCTCGCATTTAGAAGCACAGCAAAGGACTGCAAAGTATAGTAAGATCACAAATACAGCCTTAATTAGACTCATCATATAGATGCATTAAAGTTTCAGCAACATAAATTAAACATTAACAACTGCACGTACAGAGTTAATTGTGGAACCACAGGCTCCTCTCTAAGTCTCAAGTCTCAAAGTCTGCAAAATGTAGACATCTAGGATGAGAAACTGTCAAAACACCAGGCTGCGACATGAGCTCGTTACTGATCTGAGAACACAGTAGCTGGCGAATTCTGAAGCTCACAAGATGGGTGGATTTTGTATATTTGCAATTAAAAGTATGAAACGCTATCGGCGACCTCGAATTGAAAAACCAGCATGGGATTTCTAAGAGCTGCACACAATACCTGAGGGTAGGATAACAGCCCAGACTGCAAAACGGCATTTGTAAGTCAGGCAAACTGAACAAGAAAATAGTTGTTCCACAGCTCTTGAAAACAGATGCTAGGGTTTCCATAAACGCGTGCAGATTTGTGTAGGCAAATTTGGGATTTTGCTTATCTTTTGTTCGGGGTGAGCCAGGACAGTCGACGTCAGTTCTCTCACAGCCTCGCTCACTCATGTAAAGCCCAGTTCTTCATCGCAGGAGAAGGTAAACACAGGTCGTGTTGTGCACCGTTCCAACGACACTATCTAGAAAATGTCACACACCCTAGATTCTGAGAACAAGAAAACATCTGCTTTTGGTACCCCTTGCAACGTGACATTATCCTTCAGTTTTAACATCTACAGTCTCCAGTGGGAGTGTGTCGTGTCATTTGTGATCTATAATGGAATGTATAATGCAGATTCAATGTTGGAAACTCATGTGAACCTTTGGTACTGTGACATAAAAGAGGAATAGTTGCCTAGTTTGCCCCCAGTTGATTTGCCATACATCCCTCTGGCTCCACACATTACCAGTCATCAACCTCATGCCTTCTGCAGAGGGCTGCCATCAAAGAAGAGCAATAAACAGTCAAGAAAGAGGACAGTACTGAGCAGGTTGCTACGGGGAAAGAAAAAAAAAAGAGACAAATACGAAATCATCACGAGTGGAATTTCTCCCCCCCTCTCTGACCTTCATATCCAGATTATCCACCCCTTCCTGTCACACGTAGCTCAGAATGTATAAATAAAACGAGGACATTAACTTGGGGACAGACAGGAGCCAGGGAGGCGAGCATGTGGGATACACGAGTGTTATCAGCAAACACTGAGAGCTGTTTCCGAGCAGTTTTTTTTTTTCTTCAGCACTGATGGGAGTGAATCCAGCGACTGGCAGCCGTCGTCTCTTTCGCTCGTCTTGTGCACTTCATTGTCTATGCGCGATACACGCAGAAATGAACTACTTGTCCCTTTCCTGGTTGCCAGGGAGGGCGTGCTGCTTATTTACTTGAAGAGCTTGGGGTTTAAAAAAAAAAGAGTCGGTTTCAAGGCGCCCCTAAACTAAATCCAACCCGGCAGCCAATCGGCAAAAGGCTCTTTTTCCTATTTTATTTAAAGAGACAGGGTTGCCTTTCTTTTGCAGTTCTTGAAGATGTCACAACTGCAAACAGCCATTAAATCCTAGAGTGTGTGAAAAGAATCTGATATGGCGGGGATAACAAATTGATAAAACGATGAAAGTGTTTTTATAAACTGTTCAATATCGTGTCGCCCCCCCATAGAAATCGAGTGGTGCTTTGCTATTATAATACTGGATGTTTGATAGTCTCGACACAATTTTAAACTGAGGCAACGCAGTTAATCAATCAAGTGCAGTTACATCTGAACAAAAAGAACTAGTTTCACAGTTGTGTCTCGATTGACGGAGACTATAAGTAACCCACCCCACCCCCCCAAAAAAAAATTAGAAAGCAGTTTTTTTTTTCTGGGCAGCATACCCAGACAAAATTTTAATTCTGACGAAAACGCAGCGTGTGATAACGTGTGGATGGCTCCCTTATTTAAAAGCGACAGAAAACCTGTAGCAAACGGGTGACTCTTGCTACCGTGTTGTCGGTTCAGACCTAAACGTTAAAAGTTTTTTGGGGGGGATGAATCGACTATCGGCTTTAACGCTGTTTTTCCATTGTGGTGCGTGATGTATTTTCCCTTCCACTGAGTTTTAATGCTCTGGGATATGCAAGAGCATGCAGGGCTGTATGAAATCTCCGCCCTCCCCGTTATTAATTGTGCACAGCTACAGCGGGGCAGCTCAGCATCCGCGACGGCTGGGGGCTGGCGAGGCCGGTAGCCCCCAGCTCTCAAGCCCCACAGGTCGCAACAGAGGCAGAGGCGAGGGGCGCCAGTTCTCCCCTTCTCCCTTGCGTGTTTTATCGCCACTTTAAATCGCAAAGCTCTGAAACTCCGGCTGCCGGCACCCGGCTGTGTTAGCAGGCGAAAAGAGTTGTTCCGTCACGTTGCATCTTTTCATCGCGGACCGTGCACAAACCGGGGAGCAGCTGACGGGTTTGGACAAAAAAAATATTAAAAAGACTAATTCACCGCGAGAGACTCGCCACGCAGAAATTAAATTAAATTAAATAAAACACACAGCACACACACAAGAGCCAGCTTTTTTTATTATTATTATTCTCTCTCGCCGACCGGGGGACGTGTACCTTTAAAAAAAAAACAACCCCACTGGGCCACAAACCAGCAACGCGCTAAGGCGGAAGAGCAGGCGAAGGCCTGCAGGCCTGCGATTGGTCGCTGCCTGTGACGTACCAGGCGCCGGGGCCGGGCTTGCTGGGGTAGACCCTCCACACCATTGGCGGGCGCGGCTGCCAATCCCCCCCCCTCCCCGCCGGCTGGCCCCGCCCCCTCCACCTCCTCCACCTCCTCCTCCCTGGCGTGACCAAGCTCGGCTGAGCAGTGCAGTTGCAGTGTGATGGGGTCGAGGCTGGGGCTGACGCTTTGACAGCTGGAAGAGAAGACGCGAGCGAGACAGAGCGAGTCAGCCAGCCAGCCAGCCAGCTAGCGAGCCAGCTAGCTCTTGCACACACACACAGACCATGTTCGCCAAAGGCAAGAGCTCCGCGGTGCCCTCGGACGGACAAGCTCGAGAAAAGTAAGCCCGCTCAACCCCCTGCTTGCACACCTTTCCTGTCCCCCTGCCCAGCGGATGCGTGCATATGTGTTTTGTTCCTGCTAATTCGCTGGCTTGCATTTCGTGGACGGCGCTGCTCCCGGGACGGTGGGATTATTCGCCAGCTCCTGCAGCTGAAGGGGGTGGTGGAAGAGAAAAGCGCCGGGTTGCATGCGATTCCAGTTTTCTCTGCTCGGCGTTGCATTGAATTTTGTTTTAAGTCGATTTTTATTTTTATTTTAAAAAAAAACCAGCCGCCAATCTCGCCTCCTCTTCCAGCTCGCAGGGAGCCCCGGGAGATGCACTTTCCACCCCCCAAAAAAAAAAAAACTTTTGCGCTTAAAAATACCGAATAGCTTGTTAAAGCCAAGCCTATTTTTTCTTTTTTAAAAAAAGTTTAGGGAGCGCAAGAGAGAAGGAGAGACAGAAGTAGATTCTACGCGTGGTTTTTACTTCTTGAAATTGATGTTCTTCGCCTTGGAGTTCGGGTGTCGATATGTGTCAGTGTTTCGGATCGCCTCTGCAGTTTGGTTACTTTCGTTTTGGTGGATCTGAACACGGGGTTGATCTGCAGACTCTTGCTGGCTGACTTTCCAAAATGTTAGTGTTTTTTTTTTGTAGTTGTTGCTGCTCGGAGCAGCTAAGACCTCAGAGTATCGCAGGGGCATGGTTATATTGTAACAAGACGAGCATCTAGACGTGAGCTGCCCCAGGTAGGGCGATGTTGCTTGAACGGTGGCTCCGCAGGCTGGATCAGCAAAACCCAAGTGGGTTTAGCTGCTTCTGTCATTTTTTTCTAACGCGTGTAGTGTGTGCATCGTTCTGCTTAACGCTTTCGCTCCTTTGCCGGTTCCAGTCCTCAGTCAGACATTTTCGGGGTGTCCCCAAGAGCGCTCCAAACAAGACGGGGGTCCCTTCTCTCACCGTGCAAGGAGCCGAGCCGTGTTTTTGTTTGCTCCTGGCGCAGAACTTCTCGCTGTAGCGCAATAAATCTTTTGTTTCCCTCCACAGATTAGCTTTATACGTCTATGAATATTTGCTACACGTAGGAGCACAGAAGTCAGCACAGACCTTTTTATCGGAGGTAAAGTTTCTCTGTTTTCTCTCTCTTCTTATTGTTCGCCTGACCCCGTTACTTTTTAATAGCCTTTTGTTTTCAGACCCAATGTGGCCTCCATTTTGAATTCTTATCACCTTTTGTCATTTACTGTCGATTTCACAAACATTGGCACATGGATCGGTCTGCATTCGCATATCCAAGCCTAATTGTTTCCTGCGTGTATCCCTGTTTATTTTTAGATCCGATGGGAGAAAAATATCACTCTAGGGGAACCTCCGGGGTTTTTACACTCGTGGTGGTGGTGAGTATTCATTCACGTTATTATTGGAAGTTTAGTCGGAAAAAGTGTGTGATCGATGCGGAGAAACTAGCGTTACTGGCATCACTGGATTGTCTTAATTGCTAAAATTGAGGCTTTCCCCTCCTGGTGTGGAGTTCCCTTTTTAAAAAAAACAAAAAACAAACGCGTTGGCTCCTAGAGAATGTGTCCAAAACATAAATCGCTAAGGAAGTTTCTTTAGGTCGGCTTGATCTATTAGACTTAAAACGACCCCCCCCCCTCATCAGTTGTAAACCCCTTTTCAGTTCAGTGATCTCGACTCGATCGGTAGCCCAGCCTACGTTATCATGTGTGCAGTCCCAAATGCCTGTGCCCTTTGCATGACATGGACTGACTTGTCCTGAGCCCAGTCTCCTGGTAGACTGTTGTGGGATCCTCCCCCTCTCACTGCTGTCCGCCCAGTGCCGGCTATGACTGTTCATTTCATTCATTCACTCTGAATTTTTTTGGTGGCAGGAAGCAGCGAGCATGGGTACGAGGAAATTGAGAGAGAGAGAGAGAGAGCTGTTTCCCTGGGTTCTCCATGGGGGGGTTAGTGACGTTCAGAAAACTGGAGATTCTGTACGCTCACTCACCCACCCTCCTCAAACCTCTTTCGTTTCGCCAAAGCTGAAACCCAAAAGTCGCATTTCAGACTCTCCTCTCCCAAAGAAAAGAGAAAAGAATAGAAGCGCACCATTTGAGGGGGAAGACCACTGGTGAAGTTGTTGTTGTTGTTGTTTACTGTGCGGGTAACAATTAGTAACCCGATCCCTCTCCGGTACAGTGTGTTCTGGGACCTTTACTGTGCAGCTCCTGAGAGACGGGACACTTGTGAACACTCGAGCGAAGCCAAGGCCTTTCACGATTACGTGAGTATCAGGTGTTTTTTTTTTGGATATGGTTGGTCGGCTCCATGGATGTTTTTCCTCTCTCTGTATGGCCAGCTCGTTGGCACCAGACCGGCCCCACGCGCGTGGGTTTGTCCGTGTGTCCGGTCGCGCAGGGGTATGCTTGGTGCTTGCAGGGTTGTTATTTTGAGTGGGCTGTGGCCATCTTGGTTTCTGATGCTGATGTGGTGTTTTCACTGTGTGGCAAGATCATCAGAGGTTAATATCGGGCAGCGTGCCTCTCTGAAAAAAACATTCCACCTAAGATCTTTTGGTGCAAATGTTTTATTTTGTGGGGAATATGAGAACCCGCTAAAGTGCCACTCAGTTTTTAACATTGACTCATATGCAGCCCGTTATTGTGTAGTGATCTGTGTTGTCCGTGGGATGTTTAAGATCTGTGTTTTAGATGGCACATTTTCATGTTATCTGCTTTAACCGACCTCCTGAGTCTTTATCTTGTTTTCCTCCTTGAATGCGCTTGAATTCTGAGCTTCATTAAGTCAGGAACAAACTTAATTCTGAACAAGAAGCTGAAAATCCGATCTCTGTTTGCTGGTTTTCCTTCATTTCTTGCTGAAGGTATTTGTCAAAATGCGGGGTGCAATTTTGAAATGTTTAAATTTTACCAAATTGGATTGCATTAAACGTCAGGGAGAAATGTGATGCTGCAACTGATGTATAGTTCAGTGAGAGAATCAATGAGCTGTCCCAGTTCTCTCAGTGTGTCTTAGGGAAGGTTGGACAGTACAGGCCTCAATTCAGTCACATTGCAGCGTGTTGAAATCGAGTAGCTCTGTACAGCGTGATACCGGAACTCTAAACCTTTAACTACATGACTGCTTGGCCAGACCATGCTAACTTGCGGTTGGTTAGCACTTCTTGCTAGAGTTCAATTCTCGGATTTTGGTTGACGGGATAACTGAAGATGGTTTATCTGTAAACATCATGCCTTCATCTGCAGCCTGTGCTGTGAACTGGAAGTTCCACTTCTGTATTTTGCAGAGTCCGAAGGGGAAAGACCAGTGTTTTTGGTCCACTGCTGGAGGAGTGAGGCAAGCTGCAAGTCGCCTGTCCATATTGTCCTGCCATTGCTGTGCTTTTCAGGTTGGGAATACCTGTGGCAGCTTCCGTAGCGTGCTTGATGTCGCGTTTGTTTTTCTTTTGCCTAATGGTTTTTCAGCGGCGCGGCTGGAGTCTGACAGATTTCACTCTTTCAGCCTTTCCCATGTTGTCGGTGTTTCCTTAAACAGAAAGGACACTAGTCGGGACTTAATCTCGTTGAGGGTCGCCCGAAGTCGTAAAGTGTACCCTGTTTTTAAAAGGTTGTGTTATAGATGGCGGTGGCGGAGTGGAAGCTCTTTGTGTGCAGGAAGTGATTTTCAGGTGGAAGGGTTCTCTCGGGGTCATATTTACCTGGAGCAGTAAATCCGGTTGTCATGTCTTGACTCTTACGGGTCTTCTGTGGCGACGAGCTCGGTAGCAGAAGTCCAAGGTTTTGCCTTTTCAGAAAATTGTGCTGATGCCAGTAGGTTTGAGGGCAGAAAGGTGGAGTCGTTCTCCTGTTTTTAACAGGAACGTTAAAATGCTGAAGCACGTTGCCTTTGCCGGATTTAACACATTTATGAGGTTAAAGTGTGATTTCCAGAGGGTAATTGTACTCCTCGGCTGCTAAATTGAATTCTTCTGAAGGCCGTGCCTTGCAGCTGTTGGTGCATTTATTTTGCACAAAAAAAAGTTGTTTGGAAATAATGTTACATGTATTTTAATGTAAATATTTACGGGGCAGTAGCTGGAGATGGCTGAAATAACCCTGTAGTTTAATTAAATTCTGCGACATGCTTAGTGACAGTAAAGTAGGGAAAAAAGCTGGTGACGGGGTGTCACCTGAGTCTGTTTTTATTAATTGCTTTTTTGGAGTGTGCAGGGGGTAGCTCTCAGTTGTAAGCTTACCCTAGAAGTAATCTAGCTTTAGTCTATACTTCTTGGATCGGTAATTGCTGGGTATCTTTTATTGCAGATAGAATTGTCTACACTTAGTGCATTATCGCTGTTGGCACCAGAACGGTTATCCTGTTTCCCAGCACGGGCGGCTACAGCGTGCTTGTATTACACCGAGCTCCTGTGCCAGAGTGCTCTGTTGCAGGTTTCATTATGAATCTCCAGGGTTCGCGAGTTTGCAAAGGCATCCTGACAGGGAATTTCAACTGGCGCGTTATCTCCGAATGGGCCCATTCATGAGCGCAAGCCGAGCGTTTTGACGTCGAGCAAAGCCAGCGCAGTCCATGTTAGCTGTGATCAACGGCGGTGTGCATGCTGCAGTGTATTTCTGTCCAATATTATATCCGCGTGTTTGAGGTTGTTGGTGGGTGGGTATTGCTAACTTTATCATCAGATCTGCTTCAGTCTGGTTATGGCAGGCTGCTGAAGAAAACCGACCTGAAATAGACTAGCAGATTTTCCTCTGACCAAATTCATCCTGTAGTGCTGCTGTGCTAGATGGGTGTCCGACTGGCAAATTGTAAATTCACGGGCAAGAGGTTCAATCCGGTAGAGTATTTTTATTTTTTTAAGAAAAGGACAGTGAATTGGAAGATCTAACTTTGTTCCATTTTCTTTTGCATTGCCAGATAGCTCAGAATTGCAAACTGTAGATGTTAAGTTCCAAGACCTTATATACCACTTGGATTAATGTACTGTACATGCATGCAGGACACCGCTTGCTATTATTAATTTTGTACGACTATGGTCAGATGGACATGGGCTTCAGTGTATATTTGTTTTTGGTGTATGTAAATTGTTTCAGAATCTTCTTTTTAAATAAGAAGCAGTCAACTGCAGCGCGGCCGTTGCCCTTTGCCATTAAGGTGAGACGTTATGTCATTGTTAGGAGCAGCAAGCTGCCATGAGTTAACAGCGATGTATTCACGAAAGGCAGGCTCCTGCTCTGGGAGATGAGTTTATGCGCTGGCTGGGTTTGCACTAGGAAGTTTCCTGCTTCCTGACTCTGGAAGGGCACCTCACAGCTCGAGGGGGGGGGGGGTAGTTTTATATGTTTGAAAATGGGACAGGGAATTTGTTTTTCCAAGCCTGTGAAAATTGTCTTTTTGTTCCATAAAAGATAGCTGTGAGCCCATATAGGTCATAAAAAATTGCTAGATGAGTGTGTTGAAATTGGTGGGGGGGGGGAGAATCATGGAAATTTAATTTCTGATTCGCTGCATCTATCCACCTAGCTAATAATCCTTTCCAGACCCAAGGATGCTGTATGTGGCGAATAACGAAAATGACCAAAAAGTACCATTAAAAGTAAAAAAAAAAAAAAACGAGAGCAGACAGGTTTTTACAGATGTAGGACAGTTATGCGCTACAATGCTGCAATCAGACATAGACGTTAGTAAAAGGGAATGTTTTAAGTTTGGGTTTGAAGAGTTATCTGGCTGCTTCACGGACCTCATGTGGAGAAGATGCCTCGGATTGTGGTGTTCCCAGGGCTTGGCGCCCTGTTTGGACCAGGGGACACTGGACCGGTAGAGCTGATGGAGGTTTCTCCACCAAAAATGTTGAGGAGATGCGTCTCCTCTGAATTAAACGACGGGGTGCGGACTTGTCGGGGAGCTGGCGTGAAGAGACTCTGCGCGCCCCGTTGTGAACTACCTGACTTGTCAAATCCGGCAATATTCAACTTCTGTGAGTGTCAGAACCTTGATGTTTCCCCCCCACACCTATCGGGAACTACTCCTGGGGACAGAAACAGAACCATTAAAGTTACTTGTAGTGAAAGAAACAAAATAATTGGCTCTGAAGTCACTGTGGCTGGTAAGGGCATGCTTTGCTGCCCTCACGACTTCAGTTACTAGCATCAAAAGGTGAGCAGTCTGAAACACTGTCGGGATGTGAAATTGTGCTTAATGACTCTGCTGTTTAATAGGTCTGAAACATGTTTGCCGTCAGAGTAAATTTTGGCCCTTAGAAGTGTATTGCAGTCAGATTGAGGTTTTTCAGTATTTGGAGACCAATGATTATGATTGAATGAGTTAAGATCCATGGAAATGTGAAACATTTCTGAATAGTTTTGGTGCTGAGAATTTCTTGAGGTACAACAGAGGACTTCTTAATTGTTAGTTCCTCACATTGATTTATTCTAGACGGGCACAAAGAGTTTAATATAGAGCTGAGGACTTGCTCTCACCTGTGAGGAGCTCTCAAATGCCCATTACCAGGCAGATCAAGCTGAAGGGAGCAGTTTCCTCACCAGTCCAATCACATTTAGAACGGCCTGATTATAGGAGCCCAGAGTGGAATTAGCCCCGTTAAAGTTAGTGGTTAATACCCCTATACTTAATTAATGACATGGGATTAACTATTGTCATTTTAGAATATTTTCCAGTCAAAGTATATATACAAGCATAAGCATCCTCACAAGCACCAAAACTGCTCTAGGGTGAAACAAAAGCTTTGCGTGCAGTGACTCTTAATTTCGGTGTTGGGTCAGGGTGAAGAATACAGGAAAGCTCTCTCTGTGAATGAGAGGGCCTAAATATTTATGCTGCTCTGTCCCTAATGAAAACAAATTGTCAACAGTTGTTCGGTAAATGGCTAAATGAAAATCTGTAATTAGTCAATTAGATTAAATAGTTGGCACAACCTGATTGTATCATGCTGTTTGGGTTATTAAGAGAAGGGGGTGTGAGTTTTAATTACAGAATGCTAATTCTGACAGTTCAGAATAGAGGCAGACATTCCCCCTTATGTCATTTGCTTTGAAAAAAAAAATGGTTTAGAAAAGATCAGTCTCTCCTCTTTGTGCTGCAGGATTTTGCATGCTCTCTTGAAAAGGCGCTTCCTGCCAGGAGACGTGGTTATACATCTGTCAGTCATACATGTTTTTCTTAGCGTTTCCCTTGTACCTGAGGCAGCAAGTCGTGGAATTTTTCTCGAGAAGCTGCTGACTTAATGACAGACGTGTTCATGAGCGTTTG